TAATTTGTGAATCAAAAACCACCCCTCAGCAGCCCTCCGAAATAGAAAATTCATAAATCTGTTGAAATTACAGTTGCTGAAAGTTTTTTGATGGAAATGAATTATTCTTGACCTGCAGAATACACCCTGTAGGGTGAAATAATTTGTGAATCAGAAACTACCCCTCAACAACCCTCCGAATTAAAAAATTCATAAATCAGTTGAAATTACAGTTGCGCGATGTTTTTTGATGGAAATGAATTATTCTAGACCTGCTGACTACACAAATTATTTCACCCTACAGGGTGTATTCTGCAGGTCAAGAATAATTCATTTCCATCAAAAAACTTTCAGCAACTGTAATTTCAACAGATTTATGAATTTTCTATTTCGGAGGGCTGCTGAGGGGTGGTTTTTGATTCACAAATTATTTCACCTCATAAACCGTATACAACAGGTCTAGAATTATCCATTTCCATCAAAAAATCTCATGCAACGGGAATTTCAACTGATTTATGATCTTTATACTTCGGAGGGTTGCTGAGGGGTAGTTTTTGGTTCACAAAATATTTCACCCTACAAAGAGTAGTCAGCAGGTCTAGAATAATTCATTTCCATCAAAAAATCTCTTGCAACAAGAATTTCAACTAATTGATGAATTTTCTAATTCGGAGGGTTGTTGAGGGGTAGTTTCTGATTCACAAATTATTTCACCCTACAGGGTGTATTCTGCAGGTCAAGAATAATTCATTTCCATCAAAAAACTTTCAGCAACTGTAATTTCAACAGATTTATGAATTTTCTATTTCGGAGGGCTGCTGAGGGGTGGTTTTTGATTCACAAATTATTTCACCCCATAAACCGTATACAACAGGTCTAGAATTATCCATTTCCATCAAAAAATCTCATGCAACGGGAATTTCAACTGATTTATGATCTTTATACTTCGGAGGGTTGCTGAGGGGTAGTTTTTGGTTCACAAAATATTTCACCCTACAAAGAGTAGTCAGCAGGTCTAGAATAATTCATTTCCATCAAAAAATCTCTTGCAACAAGAATTTCAACTAATTGATGATTTTTACACTTCGGAGGGTCGTTGAGGGGTAGTTTTTGGTTCACAAATTATTTCACCTTATTCTGCAGGTCAAGAATAATTCATTTCCATCAAAAAACTTTCAGCAACTGTAATTTCAACAGATTTATGAATTATTTATTTCAGAGGGCTGCTGAGGGGTAGTTTCTGGTTCACAAATTATTTCACCCCATACAGCGTATACAGCAGGTCTAGAATAATTCATTTCCATCAAAAAATCTCTTGCAACAAGAATTTCAACTAATTGATGATTTTTACACTTCGGAGGGTCGTTGAGGGGTAGTTTTTGGTTCACAAATTATTTCACCTTACAGGGTGTATTCTGCAGGTCAAGAATAATTCATTTCCATCAAAAAACTTTCAGCAACTGTAATTTCAACAGATTATTCATGATTTTCCTACTTCAGAGGGTTGTTGTGGGGTAGTTTCTGGTTCACAAATTATTTCACCCCATAGAGCGTATACAGCAGGTCTAGAATAATTCATTTCCATCAAAAAACATAGCGCAACAAGAATTACGACTAATTGATGATTTTTACACTTCGGAGGGTTGTTGAGGGGTAGTTTCTGATTCACAAATTATCTCACCCTACAGGGTGTATTCTGCAGGTCAAGAATAATTCATTTCCATCAAAAAACTTTCAGCAACTGTAATTTCAACAGATTTATGAATTTTCTATTTCGGAGGGCTGCTGAGGGGTGGTTTTTGATTCACAAATTATTTCACCCCATAAACCGTATACAACAGGTCTAGAATTATCCATTTCCATCAAAAAATCTCATGCAACGGGAATTTCAACTGATTTATGATCTTTATACTTCGGAGGGTTGCTGAGGGGTAGTTTTTGGTTCACAAAATATTTCACCCTACAAAGAGTAGTCAGCAGGTCTAGAATAATTCATTTCCATCAAAAAACATCGCGCAACTGTAATTTCAACTGATTTATGAATTTTCTATTTCGGAGGGTTGTTGAGGGGTAGTTTCTAGTTCACAAATTATTTCATTGTATGGAGGGTGTTCAATTAGTGTAAAATTATCGATTTACATAATGAAATCGCGATTAAGGTATCTCCCAACTGTCTCACGATTTTTCTGTTATGTGGGGTGGTTATGGGGTGGTTTAGAAATCACAAATTATTTTTTTGTTAGGAGCCTTTCTCAACTTCTTCAGGTTAGTGGACTTGTGTAGAAAAATCTTGAGCGAAAGAAAAAGTCCTTCCTCCATATACCATAAATGAAGTTGAAAAACCGTTGCCAGAAAAACCGTTGCTGCTTTCACACCCGTCACAGACGCGAGTAACATCGGAATTGGAGCCGTGCTATCACAAGTACAGGATGGTCAAGAAAAGGTTATAGAATACTACAGCAAAGTGATGGCCAAACCAGAAAGGAATTATTGTGTCACCAGGAAAGAACTGCTGGCAATTGTTAAGGCTGTTGACCATTTCCACAAATACTTATACGGGAGAGAATTTCTCATTAGGACGGATCATGCAGCTTTGAGGTGGCTGATGGAGATGAAGAATCCTGAAGGTCAAATAGCAAGATGGCTGGAAAAGCTGAACCAGTATCACTTCAAGATTAAGCATCGCCCAGGAAAACTACACCAGAATGCAGATGCCATGTCCAGAAGACCTTGTTCGGAAACCTGTAAGCATTGTCTGCGCATTGAACATCGAGAAGGAACCGCTGATGTTAGAAAAACCAGGCTTGTGACCGATGATAAGTGGACAGCAGCACACATGAGACGAGATCAGGAGAACGATCCGAATATCGCCGATTTTCTACGTTGGAAAGAAAGAGGAACAGAAAGACCGACATGGAAGGATATCTCGGATAGAGGGCCTGCTTTCAAGGCGATGTGGGCACAATGGGACTCACTAGTTGTGGAGAATGGATTATTGAAGCGAGTTTGGGAATCAGCTGATGGTAGATCAACAATTTCTCAGCTGGTTGTGCCCCACATCAGAGTTAATGAAGTTCTGGAAGAAGTCCATGGCGGAAAATCTGGTGGACATTTTGGAGTTAACAAGACATTGAGTAAAATTCGAGAAAGATTTTACTGGGTTCAATGTCGTGACGACGTGGAAAGTTGGTGTAGAAGATGTCCTGTATGCGAAGCCAGTAAAGGTCCCAGAACGAGATCAAGAGCTGGAATGAAGCAATACAATGTGGGTGCACCGTTTGAAAGGATCGCCATCGATGTAGCCGGACCATTCCCTTTGACTGATGATGGAAATAAATACATCTTGGTTGCTATGGACTACTTCAGTAAGTGGGTAGAAGCATACGGCATGCCAAACCAAGAAGCCTCCACAGTTGCCAGGATATTGGTCGACAACATGTTTTCACGGTTCGGAGTACCAATGGAATTACATTCTGATCAAGGGAGAAATTTTGAGTCGAACTTATTCAAAAAGGTCTGTGATCTAATGGGAATCAGTAAGACGAGAACAACTCCACTACATCCACAATCCGATGGCATGGTCGAAAGATTCAACCGAACTATGGAAGAACATCTTTCCAAAGTAGTCGAAGAGCATCAGAGGGACTGGGACAGGCATCTTCCCTTATTCCTGATGGCGTATAGAGCAGCTGTCCATGATTCAACGAAGCTAACTCCAGCTAGTATAGTCTTTGGAAGAGAACTCCGCTTACCTTGTGACTTGGTGTTCGGTTCACCAAGTGTTGAAGAAAAGGAAGTACAAGACTACGCAGATGAGCTCCGGAATGGCTTGATGAAAACTCATGAGACTGCTCGGAAAAGATTGAAATTAGCAAGTGACAAAATGAAGGCACGGTACGATCTCAAAGCCAATTCAGAGGGATTCTTCGAAGGAGATCGAGTTTGGCTGTATAATCCTCGACGGAAGAAAGGCGTATCACCCAAATTAACACCATCTTGGGAAGGACCGTATACGGTGTTGAAAAGGATCAACGATGTGGTCTACAGAATCCAACGCAGCCCTAGGACAAAGATGAAAGTCGTTCATCTTGAAAGACTGAAGCCTTATCATGGTGAGGAAAGTTCTGTTTTTGATCGGGACGATCAAATTTGAAGAAGGGGGTAAATGTTACGACCCTGGCGATCAATCCCAGCTACCTGCTATACGGGAGTAAATAAACCGTATTTCTTGGAATAGTAATTAGGTGATTCGACGGCTATTGAGATGACTCGAGAAGATTATCGACCTGTTCACGATATTTCGAGTGGAATCTAGACGTTTTATTAGGTAGTATAAATAGTTGTTGTTAGGGACAGGAAGAAAAGTCTTTATTTGGAAGCGTTATAATAACGATCGAAGAAGTGTTGTGAATCGGAAGTGTTTAGTACGAGTATTGTTATTATTGTATAGTAGTGTTCAGAATAAATCGTTTTAAGTGTTCTACCGAGTGTTAAATTATTACGGACCCAGAGTAAAATCGTAACAATATGATCATAGTGCCATCCATGAGAAAATCCGAGAAGATACCCAATTACGCAATAAAAATTTTTTCTCGCAGTGTCCTTATAGAAGGACGGTAGGCATATCTGGGTATTCAGACCTCAAGTCATGTGGGATAACATGACTAAATCTTTATGTTGTATGTTGTACCTTACCTCCAACCCGCTATCAACTTCTAGTTTTCATATTTTGTTGCCAGTGTGTCCGTAAAGTATGGAATAAATTCGATATTTTTTAAACTAAAAGCCTCTAGCTGATTTTAAAAAAAGGTATAATACTTGGAGTCACAAGATTGCCGATGACGTCATCACCTTGATGTTTAACACCCTGTGTAATGCGATTTTGTTGTAACAGGAGCATCGATATCAACAAACGACATATTCCAGATTTTTCAATCAATCTTTTTTCATCGAAAGAATGAATTGTGTCGAAAAATTGTCTCTAAAAATGATTAATACGATTTCTATTCTTCTCATTCCAGTTACAAACTCCATGGAAATCGATTTTTACTTCCCCACCATTTTTGGCAGTTTATATCACCCAAATTGGAACAGTTTGGGGTAATTCGACTTTACTAGCAGAGATACCAACTTATATGAATAAAGTGATGGGTTTCGACATCACATCGGTGAGTTATCAAATAGTAAATTGAAAAGTCGATAATGAGTTGATCGCTTCACGATTTGGATATGACATACTTACAATCCTGCAGGATTGGTTAACTAGATTAAAACTGGTTGAATTTTTTCGTACAATTATTCAGCTGGAATTTTGAAATATTAGCATCACACATTCATACAGATTTCAATATGTACATACATTCAGATGCATAATATAGAACATGTCGCGGTTGGATAGTGTTATCGCTCTTATTGTTGGAGTGACCAGAGGTGCGACATGTTCATTGCATCTGACTGTACACTTTATTGTGTTTTATGTATCTTCCTATAATTGTATAGCTGTGTATTTGTGGAATATAGGTAATTTAAGGAAATCGTGAAATAACCAAAATCTTTATTGACAATGAACAATCAATAACGTACTTATTTTCAGAATGGACTTTTGTCAGCAGCACCATACCTTACCTCTTTCATTTTTGCCTACTCATTTAGTTTCATATCGGATTACATCGTCAACAACAATTACCTTTCTGTAACTTGGTCAAGGAAATTGTTCACTATGATAGGTAAGTTATTAAACAGTTCTATCTGATACCTACATAATAATAATAAGAAGCCAATTTTCGACACCTATATAGGGTGATCCACGGTGGATTGCCTATTAGAAGTATCTGGAGAACGAAGGGACAGAACATTCTGAAAATTGAGATGCTTTGATAATTGAACATTCTCTATGCGTCTGAAATATTTTCATAGAGACAGTGTTGCCACTTCTATCAGAAACAACTAGCAACTTTGTTATTTCAAATAGAACAACCTGCATTTCATTGTATTTTTAGATTCTCTCCGAAGAGCTGATTTCATCAGTGCCCCACACTTGGGGTCCAGCAGGGATGATTACAGAGATATATACAGTGTGTCCCACTTACCATGCTCACCATGGGTATCTCTTGAACGGTGAGAGATACGAGGTCGGTTGAATGACACCAAATGTGGAGTTTGTCAAGGCCAACTATAATGTGAAAAAAAAATTTGATAAAATCTATTCGTTTTTGTTTTATACACAAAAAACAGATTTTGATCATTTTCATGTCTCCTCCGTAACTTCTTTATTTATGAAAATATTCAAATAGGAATTTCAGGCAGTTTTTCAAAGTGATTTCGAGAAAAATATGAAATTTATACCAACTCTTCTAGAATTTGAGATATCAGCACCAACTTTAGTTTTTCAAATGTAGGTCATAGCTCACTATGACTTAGTTACAAATAACTTTTTTTTCTCTTCCAGATGATATGTCGCAGTAATAGTTTTGTGTTGATAACAACGGAGTTATCGTCATTTATACAAGAACAAAAAAATATTTGGAAGCCGTCATCTTGAATTTATAAATTTTAACAAAAAAATCATGATCTCCGACCTCAAAAACCCCCACTTACCAATTTTGAATAGAATCGGACCAAATCTTGTGTCCGCCATCTTGGAGCAGCCATTTTTTTCAATTTCAACAAAAATTCTATAATGTATTGTCACCGAAATTATGAACACCTGTCAAATTCCAAGTTGATCGAAGTTATGGAATTTCTGTTGAAATTGAAAAAAATGGCTGCTCCAAGATGGCGGACAAGATTTGGTCCGATTCCATTCAAAATTGGTAAGTGGGGGTTTTTGAGGTCGGAGATCATGATTTTTTTGTTAAAATTTACAAATTCAAGATGGCGGCTTCCAAATAATTTTTTGTTCCTGTATAGATGACGATAACTCCGTTGTTATCAACACAAAACTATTACTGCGACATATCATCTGGAAGAGAAAAAAAAGTTATTTGTAACTAAGTCATAGTGAGCTATGACCTACATTTGAAAAACTAAAGTAGTTGCTGATATCTCAAATTCTAGAAGAGTTGGTATAAATTTCATATTTTTTTTGAAATCACTTGAATATATTATATTTGAATATTTTCATAAATAAAGAAGTTACGGAGGAGACATGAAAATGATCAAAATCTGTTTTTTGCGTATAAAACAAAAACGAATAGATTTTATCAAAATGTTTTTTCACATTATAGTTGGCCCTGACAAACTCCACATTTGGTGTCATTTAACTGACCTCGTATCTCTCACCGTTAAAAAGATACCCACGGTGAGCATGGTAAGTGGGACACACTGTATAGGGTGTCCAAAATCGAAAATTTCCAATTCTAGGTTTTTTTGTGTCGAAACTATTCGTTATAGATCAAAACGGCCTACATGTCCCTATCTCAACTTTCGATTCACTATCTACTGGAGATTAATTGGAAAAAATACAGGGTGGTTCAAGATTCAGAATTCTGATCACCCTGTATCTGTTCCAATCGAACTTTTTGATCGAGAATAAATAGTTTCTACACAAAAAAATACTTAAACTGAAAAATCACGATTTTGAACACCCTATATCTCTGTAATCATTGTTAGACCCCATCAAGTGTGATGCATTGATGAAATCAGCTCTTCAGGAAGAATCTAAAAATGCAATGAAATACACGGTGCTCCATTTGAAATGATGAAGTTGCTAGTTGTTTCTGATAGAAGTGGCGACACTGTATCGATGAAAATATTTTAGAAGGATAGAAAATGTTCAATTATCAAAGCATCCTAATTTCCAGCATGTTCTGTCATTTCGTTCTCCAGATACTTCTAATAGGCCATCCGCCGTGAATCACCCTGTATACTACAATTCTAAACATGTGTTAATCACGGGAAAATGTGTAATTATTATATTTTTTATGTTATGGAATTCTGATCTAATTTAATGACTCATTCTGCACCACTGGATAATTTTAATTGTTTTCATCATATCTGATAAACGTTGTTTATTAGATAGATTGAACAGGTTTATTCGGAGGCACCATCAGCCAAGGGTGATTCATTATAGGAATGGGAAATCTCTAAACTACAGATAATAGACATAACATAAAGAGATTCAACCCAACATGCCTTATACACGGAGGGAGACAAAAAACCGTGAGCTAAAATCTAATTATTAATGTTGTATTCGTTTGTTGTTGGTGTTGTAGGTGGAAGTCATCATTGATTACTATATTTTTTCCCACTATCACTTCGCTAACCCAACATAAAGAAATAAAATAAAATATTTAAAATTATTAAAATATGTCTTCGAAAGCGAATAACGTGAAAACAGTAAAAGCTAGAGAGTTTGAAAATGAGTACATATTTTATCTGGAATTGATCAGGCTTTCAGATCTTTTACTTATTTCGATCATCATTTTGAGGACACAAAAGATATGATGTAATTTACCGAAGTAACAGATCGCCACAAGCGCCCTCTATGAGCAATCACAAAATGAGTTGCAAATTCGTATTCCTCATGTCAGAAAACCCTATACTATAGAATTTCATGTTCATGCTGTTGAAATTGAAAAAGTTATGGAGAAATCTAAGAATAAAATTTCCCCCTGCTCCTAAACCAGCAGCATTTCCATCAGGCATGGTGGGGCTGAATCTCTATAGCTTATTGTGTTAACTATCTCTAGTCCAGAGATTCCTCATTTTCAATGAATCACCCTGTATTCATATACTGAAGGATTTATTTTTATCTCGTCCTCTATAGGTTATTCTGAGACGTAGTTTAAACGTTTAAAATGTGACATCTTGTGACTGTGACATTTTGTCTCTTTATCTGAAAAAATAATTGAGCATCAATCAATATGATTCAGATTACTTCGTATCATTTGGCAAATCGTTGATTCAGAGATTGCTCATTGATTTTGAGAACTGAACATGTTAGAAGGTACCAAGAAACCAAACCAGCTTATAAAGTATAATCCTATACCATATCATAATATAAAAGTGGAATGAATCAGCTGATATCATGATCAGTTGATGGACTGTTGACGAATCAAAGTTATTTAAATACTTCTTTAACCCATTAGTGCATAATGTGTCTTATAATGGACGCACCTTCTCAAATTTTTTGTGACGTCAATCATGCAGGAATTGAATGTTTCATGCGCCAGAACTATAAGTGTAGTTCAACAACAAACAGCTATCGCTTCTATTTCATGAATTTGTATCTCGACAATATTCTGCACGTGATCAAATGGATAACAATTTGTATTGCACCCGACAAGGAGGGTAAGTATTTATTATAACGGAGTATTATGAATTTCAGAATTTCCTATCCCTCAAGATCTAATTATATGCATGTGTTTATAAACCTATAAGGTAATTCGAATAATTATTTTTTTTGTAAGACACTCAAAATATTGCTTTTGTGTTGTGTCCATTATAATGGACTCTATGCATATCGGTCATCAAGATTTTTTTGTAGATCATTCTCGCAACACCTCTTCGACATATGGAAAATGGCTCAGATATCGATCAACCAACAGATAATCATATATTATATTGCCTCCAGAAGAAAAGTTGGCAGAAATGCAGTTATTCGAATTTAGAAACTGCGAATCCATAATAAATCATATTTCTAAAGGAATTATCAAACAGCCGTGCGACTTTCGTTATTCTGATCCTGATTTTGATGAAATTGAAAATAATATACATCTTTGCATTATGAAAAGCAATATTATAGCATCGAATGATTGTACGTTATACTGCAGCACGTCAACTATAGACACGACTCCATCCACTCGTTCGACTCCTCTTTTTCTTCAACGGGTTCAAATTTCCTTCCACTGGATCGTGTGGGGAGCACCGAAAAAAGGTCTGGAAGAATCATCCCAAATAATTTCTTGATATGATGCATTTCCATATACCCATCAGCTGAATTCCATTCAGTAGAGTATACAAAATTGCAATTTTATATGTAAAATAGGACTGCATCTGAGAGATGCTTCAAAATGTATCATGTAAGTCATCATGATGTATAATTTTCATTATTATTATTATTGGTAATATTTTGTGATTGATGTTATTGAGTTTTTCATGTTCTGGATATGTACTTGAATAAAAATTAATACTGAAATTCCCTACTGATCACTTTCATCAATGAACCAATTTGCATAGAGTCCATTAAAATGGACGTGTCATATAAAAAAAATCTGTTGTGAAAAAAAATTATTCGTCATGAGTTATCATTCTTTGGGTATATTTGAATGAGTAGACATCTTCAGAATATAGAGATTTGAAAAAAAGTTACATCATGCACTAATGGGTTAATATTTCATCAATCCTAATATCATTCAACAAAGGATCTGTTGTCACCAGTTGAGGCGTCTTGAACTCCGTTGTTGAATTCCTATTTGGGGTTAACCTCTTGTCGGTAAAAAAAATATAAGCATCGACCAGAAAATTCGGCGAAATTGAAGAGACATGAAAATCATTGTACTCGTGCCAAATTTTAGTATGTCTGCAGTAGGCTGTGTAGTGTCCGCTGCAGATGGTACCGTAATGATTCGATGTAGCGCTCATCAAGGGGAAGTCGACAATTATTGTATTTAGTTTCTCACTGAACTCTTCAGTCTGTGAGAAACGTTTCAGATGTATAAGCAAAATTTCAGGGAACTTGTGGATGAATAATGACTTAAAACATTTTCTTTTTTCTTTACACTTCAAGCAAGTTGGTTTCTCCTCGCCGTCTGAAATCTCAACACTGGTAAACGAGTTCAAGCAATGAGACAACCAGAGTTGGCCTGATCTGTTGATTGATATATTACGCTTACCCAGCGTAAGCGTAATATATCAATCAACGCCTGATCGCTGTGGAACGCACACCAACATCTTATTATTTTTCAGCCACCTTGATTCCAGCGATGGCGCTGTTGGTACTTGGATTTCTTCCGTTGGGATACACCACTCTCTCAGTTGTAATGTTGATAGTTGCTGTGGGTTTTCAGAGTGCTCAAACTAGTGGTTACCTCATCAACCACATAGATCTCTCTCCAAATTTTGCTGGTACCCTCATGGGCATTGGAAATGGTACTGCCAATATATGCTCAATATTGGGTCCTCTATCGGTCCAATGGATCGTCACAGATGAGGTGAGTAATATTTCGTCATGAAGAAATGCGAATGTGATGATTGAAAAAATGATTAATATTTGCAATATTGGCCAAAAGTTTCTGAATTTTCAGTAATTTTCTATCAATTCTATAAGAATATGATAAAGTTTTGGAACTTGAAGGGATAGGTACTCGCCATCTTTGAGAATATATATATATATATATTGGGGCCGGGATTGGCGCAGTGGAAGAGCGTCCGTCTCACGACCGCAAGGTCGTGGGTTCGATTTCCAGCACGGGCAAGGAACTTTTTTCAATATTTTATTTACGAATTAAATATTGTAAAGTTTCGGAGCATCGGCTGGGGATAGTCCTGCACGATTCGCTGTTGCGTTCCAATTAACAGTGCTGCTCCTAAAGTGGCGCATGGAGTTAGTAACAAAGCCTACACAGAACACGCAGAAAGATATGATGATGTGTTTGTGAGCATCAGAGAAGAAGTAGGACGGTGTATGTAGGTGGGTGTGGAAAACTACCAGCTGAGCGTGAGAGCGGGCCAGCTGCTTAAGTAGACCTCGGTCTCGGGGGTTAACGATGATAGTTAGCAGGCCTGCCACTGCGCATATGGTAGTGAGTACATTACTAGCCTACAAAAACACAGCTGAAAAACTCTGAAAAGAGAGCTGATGGGCGGTGCCTGAAAAGGATGTTAGCCAGCTCTCTTGAGCGAACCACATCAGTCATTGAAAACACTTGGGGTTGGCAAAAAGGTCCCATTGGGGACTAGTTGCTGACGTGGAAACGTCCCCCACCAGTACCAGTACCAGTTGAGAATATATTTATTTTCTTAAATGAATTCATTATTGTACAGATATTATTATTATTATATATTGATTGAACTCCCTTCCTGCGAAAATGATCGAGAGTCCTTCTCTATCAACTTTAGTTTTGTGTAATCGATAAGGAAGCATTGCCCAATACCATACGGGCTAAAACCAGAAAGTAACCATTAGCATATATCAACAGGATGGAATGAATGCTCTCCACCAATTTTAATGATATTGTAACATAATCTTGAGGGACAAGTTTCGGTCTTTAGCCTAATTGCAAGGTCTACAATACAAAAACAAATGATATTGAAGTGAAAGAATTACCTATTTTGTGCTAGACTTACTTGGAGTTGAAAAAATTTTGATGCTACTATCTCTTGAATTGTCAATGCTCATAGCCAAGCATTCCAAAGGTTCAGAAAAAACGACAAAGCATATTATTATATTATACTTCGAGCCACGTTCTCATAGACCAGTATGGTAGTCACGCATTCCCGTGCTACTAGTCACTACTTCTTTATCAAAACATTCACCGTTGACTCACTGACTCCGAGCAAGCTCATTACGTTTTCTAGTGCGCTAGTGACTACTTCGTGAGTGTAACAGTTAAAATAAAGTGTTTAGTGGGGAAAATGCCGAAAAGGAAACCAAAATATGAAAAGATCAGACAGAAGCTGAGGAAACTAGAGGAAATGATAGACGAAACCTCATCATCTGAATCAGACAGTAAGAAATAATAATATATACCTGAATGGTTATCTTGTATACTTTGTGGTATACAACTAACAACGAATATTTTTGTCATTACTTTAAAGGGGTGAGACTGTTGTGCAGCTCTTCACTCACAAAAATATTGAAAAGTGGAAGCGGTTTGTGCCGTAATCCAAATTGGGATGAGAACATTGCTGTACAATGTTCGAACATTTTTCGTACCCCGACATTCAACTTACGTAACAGGAACACATAGTGCAGGCCTTGATTGATTGCCTTGATTCATTTCCGGAATCGGCTGACTAGATCAACAATGTATTTTTTTTTTCTTCTTATTATCATTGTTCAAATATGGAAGTATACAGGGAGTTATTATTTTTCAATTTTCAGGCGAATATCGATCTCATTATAGAAAGAGATCAAGATACCGATACAGGTCTCCTGAAATTGACTCTAGCGATAGTGAAGAAGGGCATATTTTCGACCAAGAGCAAGACCAAGAAGTGCTCGAGGACCGTTCAGCTCCCACAGTGGATAATCGAGAGAGAGATATTTATTCTCTTTTGGGAGAGAATCCTGCTGAGACAAATTCCACAGGTCCCCCATTGGACCCTGAGATTATCTCTAGGTGGTCGAATTATCTATCAGTTGGTTTGGATAAGGAGACTAGAGATAGGCTAATGCAGGTACAATTCCCAGAAAATGCCACGATTTTAAAAGGGCCAGTTCTCAACTCTGAATTGGATAACTTATTGAGTCCAGTTGGGAGAAAAAAGGATACTATTCTGTGTAACATACAGGATAGAATTGGAAGGGGCCTATCGGTGCTAGGAATATCAATAAATGGAATCCTGAATGACGAGATATCCGAAGATGCGAAGAATAAAATAATACCAAATATAGTTGATGCAAGTAGGCTGTTCTGTGAAGCGCATCATTTGCTCTCCATTCACAGACGGCACCAGGTTCTGCCACTTTTAAATCAGATTTCGCAGAAAGTGGCAGAAACTGATGAATCAAAAATAAATAAATTATTATTTGGTGATAACTTTGGTGAACGTTGCAAAGCTGCTCAGTCTGTTCAGAAATCCTCGTTCGATTTGAAGAAAAAGCCATACGTAAATAAGACGCCCTCTGTACAACCGAATAAATCCTATTATTTAAACTCCCAGCGCCATCAACCAAATGCCAAGATGAAGACATACAGCCGGGCATCAACCTCCAAGAAAAAATTCGAAAGGGAGCAAATGAAGAGCGAAGCGAAGATGCAGGGTGCGTCGCGTCGACGTCATCAGCGGTAGGAGTCATCAGAACATCTGAGGTAAATTGTATTCAACATTTTTCTGGCAGAATTCGCAATTTTTATGTAAGATGGTCTCAACTCACGACTGATCATTTTATACTTCAGTGCGTGAAAGGCTATGAGATTCCATTCTGTAATCGCCCTATTCAGTATCGACCTCCAAAGGCTGCTGTTCGATCTGAGACTGAACAAAGGAATTTGCAGACCTGTATTATCAAAATGTTGAGCAGTGGTGCAATCGTTCGATGTAACCATAAAAAAGGCGAATTTTTGTCATCATATTTTCTAGTTCCAAAACCCAATGGAGATTATAGATTTGTGCTGAATCTCAAGCCCCTGAATTGTTTCATTTATAATAAACATTTCAAATTGGAAAACTTCAAAACCGTTAGAAATGTTATTCCTAAAGATTCTTTCATGTGTAAAATTGACCTGAAGGATGCATATTTTCTTGTACCTATATGTGAAGATTTTAGGAAGTACTTGAGGTTTATATATAGGGAGGAATTGTTTGAATTCACTTGTCTACCCTTTGGGTTATGCACAGCTCCTTATGTTTTTTGTAAAATGATGAAACCAATTATCAATCATTGTCGTTCTGAGGGATATCTGTCAATAAATTATTTAGATGACTTTTTAGTACTAGCTGATTCAAATAGGGCCTGTGCACAGAATGCATTATATACTACTGAATTATTACAGTCGTTAGGTTTTATTATCAATTTTGAGAAATCTGATCTTGAACCTAAGCGGATTTGTACTTTCTTGGGGTTTGTCTGGGACACGAGCAATTTCATCATGTCCATTTCAGAGGAAAAAATAATCAAAGCACGGTATCACATAAAAAAGATGATGAATCGTTCGGAAATAAAAATTCGAGAGTTTTCAGAATTTATCGGATTCATCGTTTCAATTTGTCCAGCATTCAAGTATGGGTGGGCCCACACAAAAGTTTTCGAAAAAATTAAATCTAAGTATTTATTGAGAAACAATCATAACTATAATGTCAAGATGAAAGTTGAAGCAGGTATAAAATCTGAGTTGAAATGGTGGTTATCAAATGTACAAAAACCATCAAATTCAATAAGACGTGCGTCTTTTGACTTGACAATTTACACCGATGCTTCTAGAAGCGGATGGGGAGCAGCTTGTGGGTCATCAAGGGCACATGGATTCTGGAACGATTCTGAGAAAAAATTACATATCAACTCACTTGAACTTCTGGCGACATTTAACGCTCTCAAATGCTTTGCGAGAAACATCAGACCAGGCGGCAATGTCCTTCTAAGAGTCGACAATACAACAGCAATCGCATACATAAATAAGATGGGAGGTACCAGATATTTCGCCCTAAATCAGATTGCAAAAGACATTTGGGGATGGTGCGAATCAAAAGATATTTTTATACATGCTTCTTATATAAAATCAGAAGAGAATATTGATGCTGATAGAGAATCGCGTTCAATGAAAGTAGATACAGAATATTCCCTAGACATAAAGGCATATGAGCATATCGTACAAGAGTTCGGTCGCCCTGATATCGACCTCTTCGCTTCACATTTGAATGCAAAGTGTCGTAGATATGTGTCATGGAGACATGATCCAGAATCCATCGTGATTGATGCCTTCACCATATCGTGGTCGAACTTTTTCTTTTATGCATTTCCACCTTTTTCTCTGATAGCAAGAGTTCTCAATAAAATAAAAGAGGATGAGGGGGAGGGCATTGTAGTTGTTCCAGATTGGACTACTCAACCGTGGTATCCATTATTTTTTAGCCTAACTGTATCCAAACCAATTTATTTCAAACCAAACTCTGAATTATTGATGTCTCCTTTCAGAGAGAGCCACCCGATCTGGAAGAAGATTACCCTGGTTGTCTCCAGGTTATCGGGAAAGCGTTCAAAAGAAAGAAATTATCAGCAGAACTGATTCCTGTGTTTATATCTTCCCTGGGCCGAAATACACAAGCACAGTATAATTCTTCTTATAAGAAATGGTGGCAGTTCTGCATGTTAAATAAAGTTCAGTTCTATAGTCCTTCAGTAGATGATATTCTGAAGTTTCTCCACTGTGAATTCAAGAAATCTGCAGCTTATGGTACTTTGAATTGTCACTTGGCGGCTCTAAAAGTACTTTTTCCTGTCAATGACGAACAATGTTTGATAAAACGTTTCATGAAGGGTATATTCAAATTGAAACCCACTTTCTCAAGATATAATGTAACTTGGAACCCTCAGCAAGTTGTTCAACATTTAGCAAAGTTGTATCCATTAGAGACCTTATCTCTTGAAAAACTGACACTAAAACTTGCAACTCTAGTTGCATTAATATCATCCCATAGGGTTCAGACATTATCATTGATAAAAATCAAAAATATTAAGTTACTAGATGATTCGTACAAAATTTTTATAACAGACCTAATAAAAACTTCGAGTCCAGATAAATCTCAACCAGTTTTAGAAATTCCGTTTTTTCGAGAAAGTCCTGAGATTTGCGTTGCCCTCACATTACAGAATTATTTAGAAATTACGAGTAAAATAAGAAACACAACCGAAGAATTATTTTTGACGTATAAAAAACAACACAGGAAAGCTTCATCTCAAACCATATCCAGATGGATCAAATCAGTAATGTCGCAGGCTGGTATAGACACCACTATTTTTTCGGGTCATAGTGCACGGCACGCATCTACTTCGGCTGCTTTCCGTGCCGGAATCTCTTTAGATTCCATAAGAAGTATGGCAGGATGGTCGGCCAGATCCAGTACATTTGGAAAATTTTATAACAGACCTTTAGTAGATAATTCAGATTATGCGAGGAACATAATTTTGGGTACAAATTAGGATATTTTTGATTATATAATTATATATATTTTCCATAGTAGGATAGAGTTGTTATTTATCGAGTTGTATTTATACTTATTAGGAAAGTTCGATGTTGGGTTGCCAACTCTGATATGTAACAGGTTTCCTTGAAACTCTGGTTATGATTGAAATTAGATACGTACTTGCCTAATAATATTGAATACAGGAAATAAAAAATTATTTTCAGTAAAAATCGTAGATTTCGTTCATGAATTTGTTCAGTGTGAGCTCTAAACATCTACCATACTGGTCTATGAGAACGTGGCTCGAAGTATAATTTAAGATTAAACGACTTACCTAAGGAAGTTCAATCTTAATTATACGAGGAGCCACGTTCTCATAGACCAAAACCCACCACCGACCCACCCTTTCTGAACAAATTTCAAAGCTTCACCAGATAAACGTAATGAGCTTGCTCGGAGTCAGTGAGTCAACGGTGAATGTTTTGATAAAGAAGTAGTGACTAGTAGCACGGGAATGCGTGACTACCATACTGGTCTATGAGAACGTGGCTCCTCGTATAATTAAGATTGAACTTCCTTAGGTAAGTCGTTTAATCTTAAATTCTGGATTATAATGAACTAACAATTGACATGAGAATTTCTTCGATTTCAAAAAATTTCAGTCCATATAACCATTTTGTATATGTGTGTAATAATTCGTATAAAGTTCCTATAATAAAAATGACAAATGAGGAAGACGTTTTTCGAAATACTTAATTGATTGAGCCCAAAAGACAATGCAACTGTTCGACGTTTGTATAGAAACCGGGTCATTTTTCATAGCTATCACTCTCTCAGGTCACTTCCGTACGCCATTTTTGTTTGATGAAGCCCAAATAACTTCTCCACGGGTTTCAAAGTCATCATCTGAACGTTGTAATGACGATTATAACAATAGGAAAAACATTTCTCACTGCTGGCATTGATTCAATGTTTGACATGTTTTTCAGTGCTCAGGTTAGGTCATGTAATGGACCTTGAAAACCGTGAATTCCCAAACCTGACTCTGTCAATCTTTGAATTGAACAAGATCCCATAACTCAAAGATGAAGAGAGTTGCCTCAACTCTCAGCATCATCGAGACTGTTCCGGTCCACTAGGTCTCATCAGCCGCTCTCGGTCTACTGACAATTGGGACAGTCTACACTTCGGGTATATCACTCATTTGTATTAGTGACTTGATTCAGTTCAGTAGGAACATGAAGATCGCGATATACACTAGCTGTATGACGCTGCCATCTATGGTCAACACTGTATTTATCAAAAGCTGCTATCTTTGATCCTGATTCTTATCCTTGCGACCCATTCACTAGCATTTACCAAGGAGATTTTGAATGCACCGAGTATCTCGATAGAAGTTTTTCCTCGGGTGTCCTTGGAATGAATGGAATGATGAGATAAATTGTATAGATGTAAGCTTTTTCGTCGAGTGCTTTCAGCAGTTTCGCTCGCTTTTTCACCTTATCCCGGATATCATTTACTCGGAAGTTATTATTCAACCGTCTTCTGAAGACCATACCCAATCGCAATCTTCTGAACTGAATTCTCGAACATATATACCCATAATATTATGGGTTTTCTGCCACTTTGTGTGAGTTTTTGAAAATATTCGCCAATGTAAGATACTATGCAAGATGCGAAAATTATTCACAAACTATATTCATTGTTATATATTTTCCACGACAATTCTTCCAGTCTATTATAACTATTATCAGGACGTTTTCCTATTATATTGATATACTATACAGCACAGTATATCTATTATGGTTAAAATCGCAATTCGAATATGGGACATCCTGTACATCATTTTTCATAAATATATGAATTATGGGTGATCTTCTGTAGATATACTATAACCTCAATTCTGAACGATACTCAATAGATACACAATAATTCACAACTTCATAATCATCAGTCGACATTGAAAGCAATGACATCTTATGATAGGTACTTGTGGGGTGGAATCTACCAGGGAATTTCATATTTTCAGCTTCATGCATTTGTTGAATGAGAACATATATTTTTGGATACATACCAAAACTTTTTCGTTTGAAACACGATAAAAGAGAATCATTCAAAGATGACGAATGATTTTTATGCATTCATCATAGATCTAATCGATGATGGTGAAAGTTTGATTCGTAATTTGAATGTTATATCCATCTCCTTACGTACAATGGATGTTGATTCGACGTCCATCAGTGTTTATACTTTGAGTGAACGTTTTTGTTCAGAAGATTCAGTATACGTTTATCATGAACATATAATGAGTGTTTATCTTGCGTCCATGATTATTAGGATGCCAAATGAATATCTATACGGGCCGTCCAATTTGGTTTCACGTTCAATGAATGTTCATCCGATATCCATGGACGTTCGATCCAATCCGCAAATGTATTACACCTGAAGTTCACGTCAAATAGGGGTTGAAAACCAATTTAAATGAAATGAAATGAATTAAAACTCATGTTACAGATGCGGAAAATGAATTCCTATATGATTTGGTATAATTCTCTACTCATTATTGATATTTTGATTTTCAGACCGATAAATCTCAATGGAGGATAATATTCATAATAGCAGCCATGATGTACTTGTTACCTTCATTGTTCTACTTATTTTTCGCTTCCGGAGAAGTGCAACCATGGGATTCCTCATCAGACGATGATGCAGTGAAGAGGAGATTAAGGAGGAAGAAGATCTCTGTGTATTCTATAATGTCAATAAATTGAATGAATTCAAATTAATTGTCTTTCACTCAGCATTTTTTTTATCGCTTGGAGCGCACGAAAGGGAATCCCTATAATGTTCAAAGAACATCGTGCATTTTTTTGTTATTTTTGACCATCCATTCGCGTATCCAACATCTTGCTACCATAGATATTCTCTCATATACAGGGTGTCACATAATAACAATTTAAAAAAAAAGTTCATATGCACTTTTATCCAGAAATACTTTGTTTCGGATATACAGGATGTTGAGATTGAACTTTTTGTTCGCTTATTAAAAATATTTTTTCCAAAACATGAGTTATTTGCACGAAATTTGGTAACCACGGTTTCTTGACGTGGGAAATCATTATTTCATATTTCATGAAAAAATCGTATTCTTACACCTTTTCCAAGTAAAAGAGGTACACTTCCTCAACAACGCTAGATATGATCGTTTTCGAGATATTCACAATTTTTTGTATCGATGCGTGATACTTGGGCGCCAATTGAAGTTGCTGAGAACAATACAAGAACTAGGTTATGTTGGTTCGATCAAAATAAAATACTTTTTTCCCATAAAGTATGTGTTCAAAGTTTGATGAAAATATCTGGTGTTGCAAATAACTTGAGACGAAAACCAACCTTGTTTCCTGAAAACAAAATCATTTTACGATAAACTCATAGACAAAAAAACAGTTTATTTTCACGAGACCTACCACCTACTTGAATATACAATACAATACACTTCCACGAGAATGGTAATCTGCTACCCAGGTAGCACATCATATTGGCTGGAACCCGATTTCATATTGGGCCGATATAGATATATCGTACATGTGAAAAATAATATAGGTCCAATATGAGAGTATATTGGACAAACAATATTGGAATGATAATATTGGTGGAATATTGGTTCAACCTGAGCTGAATATGGATTGTCAGCTACAATATTGGAGCAATATAGGTTGTAAAATTCGTTAACAATGTGTTGAAAAACATATCTATGAATGTTATATAATATTGTTTTACGAATGTCGATACAACAACATCGTATACATATTGTTCCCGACATTTACAACCAATATTGCAATTTGAACATTCTCCCCATGTCGATTCTGAAGCGGTTATGCAATATTGTATATTTAAGTTGAACGGCATATCGGTTGGATATTGTTTTAACAATATTTGAATTATTATATTCACCCATCTTGATTGATATCATTTTATCTATATCATGTGGAAGATATCGTATACAATTTGCTTCTTACATTGATAACCAATATCGCGATTTGAATATTGTCCCCATGTTGATTCTGAAGCGGTTGTGCAATATTGTATATTTGAGTTCGACGGCATATTGGTTGAATATTGTTTCAACAATATTCGAAATATCATATTCACCAATCTTGATTAATATCATTCTATCCATATCATGCGGAAGATATCGTATACATATTGTTTCCAACAATTATAACCAATATAGCAATTTGAACATTCCCCCCATGTCAATTCTAAAGCGGTTATGAAATATTGTATGTTCGAGTTCGACGACATATTGGTAGAATATTGTTTCAACAATATTTGGAACATAGAATTCACCAATATTGACTGATATCATTCCAACTATATCGTGCGGAAGATATCGCACACATATTGTTTCCAACAACTATATATAACCAATATCGCAATTCAAACATTCTCCCCATGTCGATTCTGAAGCGGATATACAATATTGTGTAATCGGATTCGACGGCAAATTGGATGAATATTGTTTCAATTGATATCATGCGGAAAATATCGTGTACATATTGTTTCCAACAATCGTAACCAATATCGCAATTTGAACATTCTCCCTATGTCGATTCTGAAGGGGTTTTCAATGATTCAAATATGAATATCAATAACAGCAATTCAATATATATCTTATATCGGACATAGAAGAGAAAAACAATATTGTAATTTCAAGTTCAATTGCATATCGGGTGAATAGTTTTCTAGCAATATTCAGAAAATGATATCATCTTATATTGGCTGATATGTGATTCACTATATCATGTGAGCAATATTGTTCACATATTGTTTTGAGAATACATATCGATATCGAAATTTCGATATTTATTCCATTTTACGCACTCCCAAATCGATGTCGATAGATGGCGCTATAAATGATTGGTAACGTACTCCCATTGCCGATCAGACGAGAAAATATAAATATTAGCTCTAGACGATTGTAAAGTATTATAACCTGGAGTAAGGGTTAACCGTGATCAACAAGGAGGCTTCCCCAATGCAAGGCCCTTCCATTGCACTCCGGCTGGGCTGACCTTTGTGATTATTCCTGATACAAATATTGGTAAGAAAATATTCCACCAATATTTTGAAGACAACATAGCTACATAATGATTTTCAATAATGTACCAATATTTCCAACCAATATTGCACCAGTATTGTCAAATGTTCACTGTCCATTTATCAGCAATATTGATATCACATTTTGTGACCAATATAACTTCACGAATATTCCAGCAATATTGGTATGAGAATATTCTACCAATATTTCTGAGACAACATACCTTCATGATGATTTTCAATGATTCACCGATATTTCCATATATTACACCAATATTGCCGAATGTTATCACCATTAATTTCTCGCCAATATTGATATTACATTTTGTGTCCGATATAACTCTACGAATATTCAACCAATATTAATATGAGAATATTCTACTCACATTTGGAAACTGATATTGTACCAATATCGCCGAATGTTCACATTTTTTTTCTCGCCAATATTACTTTCACAATATTTTGCCGATATTTTCGTAATATTGCACCGATATTGTCCCAATATATGTGTGCTACTTGGGTATAATTCCATCACTAGCAAAAAGACGAAGTCGACAGGATCAGTCAGCAAATCCCATCGTCGTTAACCTTGAAAAATGTCGAACAACACTCTACCAAAACTCCTTCTTCTACAGAACGGCGAATCTTTGGAATCCTTTGGAAATATGGAAGTATTCCCAAGAACTTAAAACCTTCAAAAGTTTAACAAAATGGATATGGGTTCACCTATCTCATAATCGTGTGTGATAAATGCAGTTTTACCCTTAAAAATTACTGTTTCAAGTCTAACGATCAATTGAGTAAAAAACCAACAACAGGAAATTGGAAACACTCACTGGCTAATTTTTTAAGTGATAGGAATTATCCAAGATAATTATAGGTAATTATAACAAACGGCATGTCTATCAAAATAAAATACATTTTCCACAATTTTCAATCTCACGATATATGTTCATGTTCTGCGGGCCCTGTATAAGTAGCTGTGAAGTTTACCTTCACCACGATTTTTGCCAATATATTTAATTCGAAGGGGTTGCTGTAGGTGGGTATTTGTGTTTTATTCTGGTTTTTGCTTTGAAACTTCGTTTTTCCATAATAAAATCGAATGGGATGCGAAGAAGGGCTCCGTTGACGACTGGCATCCTTTTTTAACCGGAAGCCCTTCAAAAAAACAGCAAAATCGGCTCAATAATGATCGAAAACTAAAATTGAAATACGCGGTCGCCTTATAGCGCCATAAGCGCTTGTCGTTTCGAGCCGCTGGTTAGGCCTCACTAAGGTGACGTCATGACGGAGCATGCAGGCCTTATTGTCTCGATGGTAACGGTTGGCCACATCTGTACTCACAAGCACTGAGCTCCTGAGAAATTAGACAGAGTTGATATTGTAAGCTTCATCATTCAGAGTGTTTATGATCTTTGAGGTGTCGATATTATTTAACATTCACAGTGAATTGTTTATATCATAATAGCTGATAAGATCTATAATCACGGTTTCTCCACATGGAGATAGTAGAAGTTCATACAATGAGTCTAAAATCTGTTCCTTAGGGAGTTACAGCAGAGATGGGCAACAGAGCATGGTTTTCAGCCATATCTTCGCCAGAGTTTCTTGGAATGAAACGAAAGTTTTGGCACATCCGATACATTATAGATGCTTGTAGAATCATCAAGAAGGAGTTCAAACTAGGTGGATTGAAAATTTTTTTTTAAGAATTTTGGAATATCACATGAGTAATTGTTGTCATTCGCTGAAATACATGGTTTTCTATAGTAAACTCAATTTGAAATTATCAATGTACCGGGTGATTCACCATGAATGCCTACCCCTGCTCTAGCTCAATTATTTTTTAACCGATTTCAAAGTTTGAAATACGACCAGCTTTCGGGTTCATGACAAATCAATATTCATCTTTCAAAATTTGGAAAAAATTCTGAATTGACGAAACCTAATCACGAATCTGCGATTAATAGTCTATAATATTAACTAGTTTCTATCGTTCAAGTTTGAAACTCTTGATTGGGTGAAAGTATTGAAAAGGAATATTCTCAGATGAATCATGAACATGGAAAAATTTATATATATAAACTATCAATTCTTTCTCGGTTTATTCAACAGAAAGTAGTTGATATTCGCAAGAAAACAGTGAATTTTTCGCAAGGAGAGTGCGTACTTTGATACCTTCTGCCTGTGTGATAGGGACTTTGGTATAAAAACTACTTGAAGCAATTTCAACAACTAGAAATCCACTTCGACAATTTCGAGAAAGACGTTTTCTGAAGTAGGTAATTTAATTGTCTTGTTCATTTCCATATATAATTGAATTATATCTATTTAATCTTGTATAATGATTATCGATAAGACATCTGATATGGATAGGGTAGATAGAGTAGAATAAAAAAAATATAACTTTATACCTACAGGGAATCATTGAATTGGTGTGAAAAAGTCCGGAGATGAGAAGTTATTCATCAAATTATTTGGAAGAAAACAAATAAACTCAAAACATACTTTTTCTCGAACCTCTGAATCCTCGTTAGCACCTTGCAGATTTATTGTATTTCTTTTAAATTTCTTTAAAATTTTGTATACCATCCTAAGTTTAAATTAGGTTCCCCACTAAATTTCTAAGATGAGTATTATAATAATCATAATGTTATATGACTACCTGTGAATACTGTTTTTAGGCTCGTCCTGTTTGTAATCCTGAATATATAAAATAAAATAAAAATAAATAAATAAATAAAATACATTGATATAAAAGGTGTGTAACATGCGATGAGTATGTTAAAATATTCGACTGACGTTCTCCTAGGACGATATAAAAAAGGTATATTATGCTTCGTTTCGCAGATACACGCTAAAAATTCTTGAGTTGATTTTAACTGATGGTCCAGACAATCTTGTGTAAATTCAGGTCCACACCGGATTGTGTGACCATTTTATAGCTAGCCTTTGATTAACACTGACACAAAATGTTTCAGGTGTATGAAAAATGTTTCAAAAATCATGTATATACACAATTCGGGCTGAAATTCAACGTTCGAGTTCTTGATGGAGCTAATTGTGCATTCCTATTTTGACGAAAAGGTTTACTCAATAGGATTTTTCAATTAAATCAAATATAACATATATTTCTTCCTCAGTTTCGAAATAACTCTCGCAAAAAAGTTTTTTTGTACCAAGGTTGAAACACTTTCCATTATAGTCCAGTCTGCAAATTGATAGCCGAGGCCTCAGCCGAGGCTAGCAATCCGGCAAATCAGGCGAGACAATGTTTTGTGGACCCCAAACACTTATATTCACATCGCGGTCCTATTCACACGTGAAATCTGTCGGATTTCGTGAATAATTAATTTAACAACATCTATTGACAGTTGTTGTCAACTCACTCTCCGCGCGGACCAGGGTTGCCAGTTTGATTTTCATTCCATCAGTAAATACCTTGTCAAAAATTCTGTAGATGTCAATAAATCTGTTTGAGATTTATTTTATGCTATACAAATTCCAAGAAAGGATAATGAAATGAACCTATGACGTTAGGATACTGTGTTCTTTTAGTAAACAGGAAAGTAACCCATTTTCAACAAAGAAGAAACAAACAAAGCGAACATTCTCATACAATAACAATCAATTCAAAAATACTCACAAATATTACAAAATACAGTTCTTTAGGTACTCGTAAGATTTGAGTATATAAAGAACAGATAAAACAATTGAACGTAATCAACAGACTGTTATGACAGAGGTATATGAAAAATTGAATTTGATACGAATCAGATGAAATATTGTCCTTTTTTGGTTTATACATATCATCAGTACCTCTATGTACGTTTATTACTTATTTTGAAAGATTAATTCAAAACAGAGCGTGTCGAAATATCATTCACTTCAATAATATAGGTAATTATAATAAAAAATCAGTGTCGTAATGTTTTTCAGTAAATCATGGAGGGACATGTAGAATGTAGATCCATATATCAATAAGTATATGCTAATGAGGAGATCGACTGAAAATTCAGTGAAACTGGCAACCCCGCAGCGGACAAAAAGCGTATGCGAAAAGTTTGTGTCTGCGGACGAGAAGTACTTACCTTTAGAAACAGTCGGTTTTTTGTTTGGAAATTAGAACGTATAATATGATTTCTCGTAGAGGTAGGCGAAAAAGGTAGTTTTGCACTCAATTTGGTACCCATGCTTTTTTTATGAGGTGGAAAATCATAATTTCGGGGCGCTGAGAATGCTGTCATTATTTATGTGAAAATGCCCTCACAGTAAACTTTCAGCACTTGCATGAAAAAAATATCATTTTCACAGTGTTCTTAAGTAAAAATGGTTCTCTTTCCCAAAAACGCTGGAGGTGACAGTTTCTGAGATATGCACAATTTTCTATATCGATGCAGTATATTAGTGCGCTTATTCTTGAAGTTGCTAATTTTCTTTCAAAAATTGAGCACTTATGTTTTTTATGTTCTCAGCAACTTCACTCAGCACCCTAGGAGCTTTGAGTACCTAAAGTGCATCGACATGGAAAATTGTAAATATCTCAAGAACGATCGCCTCCAGCGTTGTTGAGGATGTGTATCTTTTTTACATAGAAAACGTGTGGGAATAACATTTTCTCATGAAAAATGCCCAAAGATTTCTGTCCAGGAAGCTAGGGCACTTTCAAATAAAATATGATGACAGCGTAGTACGCAGCGCCGTCTACAAGTCACATTATAAAAATAAATACGGAATTATGATTTCCCACCTCAAATGAAAACCATTTTCATGTTCAGTTTTCAGTAGTGAGTACCATGTTCTATATACAGTATGATGCAAATGTATGGAATGAATTCATTTCAAAACAAGACAACTTCCGAGAAAATCCAAAAACTAGACTTCAGAACTTTATTAATTGATTTATTTTTTCAAAAAGACGACCCTTCGTAGTTCAATTCTCAGTAGCAGACCTCTGCAAGATTCAGTTAATCAAATGATAAGCCATTTTAATTTCAATTTTCTTATGCAAAATGTTGACTGTTGAATAGACGATCAGTAGACCTTTCAAACGAGATGTCACATGACCCCTGTTTTCATTTGAAAAAATCGTTCATCACATCATCACTCCAACACCGGTGACGTAACATCTCTCATAAGGATATCATGAGATGAGGCTTCAAAAATGAAACCTCACGTGTTTTTGGAATTTTTTGAAATGTCGCCCATTTCTGAAATAATGAATTTATTCCATACATTTGCATCATACTGTATATCAACTGAACAGGAAGCAATGCTATTGTCTCCGTTCAGAAGAATGCATGCCGCGGAGTCCTTGATTTTTCTTCCACTCTGTCATATGTTGTCCATTTTCTGAACGGAGACAATAGCATTGCTTCCTGTTCAGTTGATATAGATAGAACATGGTATTCACTACTTGATGGAAATATTTGTAGACTAAAATCACTCATTCATAAGCCAACATCAGTATGCCACTGGGAATTGTCAAACTATAAGCAGAGCATAACTTCCAACGAAAAATATTTTGCATTTTCATGTTGAGAACGGGGAGCAGATTCGCTCCCGAAACGTCCAAAGAACAAAAAAAAATTGTCCACTCGCCGATGGAAGTGTTTTTTCTTTTAAAAAACACCAATTATCTTGGTAACTGAACATTTTTGAATATAATGGTACTCCTTTCGAGAATTGAACGATTTCCTATGTTAAAACAGATCCAGATTTTATTTCGTGTATGACCCTGTACGAACTTCACACGTCTGAAAATTAATCAGATTAATATTATTGTATCTACTATGGAAGATGGTTTAATGATAATTGATTTTTTCAAGAGCAGCAATTATCTTCTAAATTATTTTCATTAAGTTGTATCAGAATGAGATAACAGGTGTGTTATTTCCTATATGAAAGAAACAACTTTTTGGGTTGAAAATTCAAAATTTTCATCGTCATGAGTGAAACGGAAAATGGTGAGTATAATAATATCTGTAGAGAAAGTGTCCAAACCTCGTTCAGTGGTTCTCATGATTCACATCATCAAATCTTTTTGTTTTTTTTTTTCGAAAGAAGCGATTTCTATAGTATATTGTTTAACGAGCATGGAATGATAGTGATTTCCTACGAGAATGAAGTTTGCAGCATGAGCCATAGGCGAATGCTGCAATCATTCGAGTAGGAAATTAGCATTCCGTGCAAGTTATACACTATAATTTTTCTACGACTATAATAGATAACAGCGGCATTTTCGATTTCTTCGTCTTGTAGACATCTGATTTCCTGTCAAGTAATGCTCATCTATTACACAGAGCTGTCATTTCTTGAAATTTGACATTTCATGAGTGATGAGATTTTTTTGGAATAATAACACATTGGAGTCATTGTGATATCAGATACGGAAAAAAGATTGATGACATACAAAGTACCTCATATCGAACACAGTAAAACCATTTCAATTTTGTGTTATAGTCGTAGAAAAATATTAGCTTTCGGCAACCGTCCGGGAAGCATATAAGCAAAACGTACATCTATTTGGCAAACGGCCTGTATCTACGCTTTCTGATTGGCTGATGCCAAATAACAGTACGTTCTGCCATTGTGGAGTCAGAGTCATGTACGTTTTGCGCGTGAATTGAAAATGCATGTGCATGCCAGATGACAGTACATATTGTAGGAGTCGCGTCAGCGCCTTGTACGTTATGGCATCAAATTGAAACTGCAATAACTGCATGGGATTTCAAAGATTTATTATAATAATGATAATACAAAATCGAAAATACTCAGCACATTCACACATCGATAGTGCGTTCTAAAAACATAAATGTACAGGGTGTCCCACGCCAATTAAGACAGGGAATATCTAGAAACTCAAGAGTAGTAGAAGATTGTAATTTTGGGGTTGAATATTATATTACCCAATGAGCTTTACATGTAGATGTTTTGCAATTGTATTTTTTGTAGTTTTCCTAACCACTATTGTAATTTCAGCCTTCACAATTTTTTGATTTCTTGTTTGTGTTGGTTCGCTTTTCGAATGAGCAGTGATGGCAAAAATATTGTTTTCTGTAAAAGATACGTATATTCATTATACAGGTAAGTTATATAAATATAAACTTTCTTGAAAAAAGGACCGCCTATATACTATACTAAGTTTTCAATACCCTATAGATGATTCACAACATTAACTCACTTACAAAAAAAGGCATAATAACGTAATATACAATTTTTTAATTACAGTAACTAATAAAACACCCTGTTGGCTGTTACTCAGACAGGAGACACATTTTATCTATGTGATTTGGTTTAAATCTTATTAATATTTTGAGCTCAAGATTTTATAGTCGAAATATGTTCAATTAAATTATTCAAATATTTTCAATTATTAATGAAACACACTGTATTCACTATACACATATACATTTTCTTGGGAAGCAATCGAATGTGACCAATCAGTAAGAGACTTCTTTGTTTTTTTGACGAGCTTTCGAAAATGTTTTTTTTTTCTTTATCAAGATTAAACTGAAACATCAAATGAACAATAATGTTAATAATATATACATATAAATTACATCACTGAAATTGATATACCTACTAACATGAAATAGAGGTACCTACACATTTTCCAAAGGTCGACAAAAAACGAATCTCACTGATTGATCACATTCGCTGCTTCACACGAATATTCCCATGAATACTTATTGTTTAATCAAACAGTCACGAAAGCTTCCACTTGTGAAATATCTACATACAAAGTCGCGCTGAACAATTCCTATTGCTTCTACCCACCCCTACCTCCTCCAAACCCCTAATGAAATCTAACGAAAAAAATCCTCTGTTACATCAAAGCTATCATAAATATCATCCCACTTTCAGCACAGATTTAAATTCTTTAATAAGTAATAAAACATTATTACTTAGCTATACTCACGAACACACAAAAAGTTTTAAATTGGGAGCACTTTCACGTACGATCCATTTCGTGTGATTCAACCTAGAAAATTCCCGAATCCACATATCACATTCTTCTAGATTGTGTAAATCTCCATAAATTGTTATATTATCCTCCATTCGTCTTATATTTGAAAGATTGGGGTAATTCCATATTGAAATAAGGTATTGAAATCAAACTCAACTAGGTATTCAACTCAATGATAGGATGCACGTGCTGCTTGCATAATAATGACTGACCAGTGACCAAAAACAAAAACTGGCGTCGGTTCAGCGTCGGTATAGCAATGTGTACTGTTATTTGGCATCAACCAATCAGAAAGCGTAGATACAGGCCGTTTGCCAAATAGATGTACGTTTTGCTTATATGCGTCCGGCATGTGCTCACTTCTCGGACGCTTTTTCTTTGAGAAAGTTGCATTTTTCCGGCCTAGTCCGGAAAGTACAGTCGTATTCAAAAAAAAGCGTACAAGTATATTTAAGAGAGAAATTAGCGTCATCCTATTAGCGTTAAACTGGCTATCGGGAATGAATGTTCACCAAATATTGACAGTAGAGTAATCATAGGTTCTCAAAAACACAAAGCAATGGCTCAGCCAGTTTCACACAACTAGAACTAGGATGCCGAAATCTTCTATGTTTAATACTTGTACGCTTTTTTATTGAATACGACTGTACGTACATACTTCCCGGATTAGGCCGGGGAGTATTACATCGTTGTTTGCACTGTAACTACGAAAATCTTGGTAGATATGGTTCTGATAAATGCAGATGCTAATTACCATTGCAGCGAAATACGGCTGACAGCTATTTGACATGAAATTAGTTGACATTTCGATTTTGGAAAGTTTGGTTGCAATTATCGCAATAAACTTTCGAAAGCAGCTGTGATAGTTAGTTTGAAGATGTCCATACAATATTTCCAATGTAACTGTTAGTAGGTATAGGTATTCTGTTCAAATGTCAGTATTTGATACAAATGAGAGTTAATAAAGTAGAAATTGTATTCTACAAAGAAATATAATATGGATATGTGTCTCATTGATTTGTTATTCTACATGGTTGCCGGAAAAATAGTGTCCGTAACACGTCCAAAAACAGTGTTTTTGGACTCGCAGACTTCCAGGACCCGCCTACGGTTCGGCCTAGAATTTTGTCTACTCGTCCAAAAAACCAGTATTTTCCGGACTTGTTTCGTAAATTACTATCATTTTGGGCGTCTGGCCAGGGTTCGGGCATCCGTGCACCGCATGGTATGGCCCGGAGGCATATAAACATTCCACTATAGGATTCGGCACCCGTCTCAATTCTCATTGGCTCATTTGAATACACCTCACTATCACAACCAATAAGTAATTGAACGGTGCCAAATCGCGTAGCAAAGTGTTCGAACAGTGCCCAAATCGGAAGTGAAATGTTATATAGTTCACGATGCCCAAATCGAATGTTGAATGTCGATTCATAACTTGCTATTCGGTACGACGGCGTATTAGCGCCACAAAACCTATTGATTTTTTTATCAGAATTTCAAAATTTTGAGATTTCATCTCAAAATTCTGAGATTTCTTCTCAAAATTTTGAGATTTTTTCTCAAAATCTTGAGATTTTTTCTCAAAATTTTGAGTTTTTTTCTCAAACTTTTGAGATTTTTTTCTCGAATTTGTTACCTACATGATAACAACATTGTGTATGTTTGCATTCAGATATAAAGTGGTTGTGCTTTGCGAAAGTTCCTCTCCTCACCTAGTAGACCTATTTATGTGTTAAATGGAGAACACTAATATATACCAATGAACTAATAAAGAGATATTTCTTCCTTGGTTTGAATTATCATGAAATATTACAATGTTTGCAGCAAGTATACATAACAACGACATCAGCAGAAGAACATTACAAAGACGATTGAAATCCTTGGGATTGTATAGAAGGAAATTTTATACGAATGATCATGAGCTTCTTTCTTTCCTCAATGAAGAAATTGACGTTTCTGGACAGTTACATCCATCACTTTCATCAGCTTTTGCTGTGAATATCTTATGGATATCCATAAGATATCTACTGAAGGATATCCATTTCAAATCCTTCAAAGGATATCTCATGGATGTCCATTCCAAATCCAGTAGGAAAACGAAGAATCAGTTCTATTTCCAAAAGGTTCAATCCATGTTCGGACACAAAAAAGAGAAATTGACACTATGAAAAACAATCTTGCGGATTGAACTTATTCGTGATTGCTGTGAATATCTCATGGATACCCATTAGATATCCATTTCAAATCCTTCGATAGATATCTCATGGATGTCCATTTCAAATCCAGTAGGAAAACGAAGAATCAGATCTAGGACCGCTCTCGTTTTCTTTGTTGTTTCAATTTATATAGTGCACCTATATCATGCACTTCACACTTCTGATATCTACCTACTTTCAACTTCATAATTGACAATGCAATATTGTAACTGAATACACGCATCCATGATGTGGATTATTTTGAGAAAAAATCTCAAAATTTTGAGAAAAAAATCTCGAAATTTTGAGATTCTGATAAAAAAATTAATAGGTTATTGTGGCGCTAATACGCCGTCGTAATTCGGCATGCTCCTTTGCCAGTTCAATAAAGTGAAATACCTATAGGTATTGCAGTTTTTTAATTATGCAAGTTATATAGGTTCTCTCTCGGGTCCTCTTCTAATAATTGTTACTAGGTGAATACTTGAGTGATAATTACAAAATATCTAATTGTGCTAAGTCATCGTTGAAAAATAGCATATGAATAACAACCGAGTGAGTTCCTCATACGAAATTCATTCGTTGACATTTTTCCTGAAATTTTGTTTGATTTCCGAGTTAGATGTCGAAATTTTGTTGGATTTGAATTCCAAAATGAGAACTGAGGAGGTATGATAATGAAAATATCATTCTTCTGTAGAGTGGACTGAAGTAGTGCATATAATAGGAAGAAAAAATTCTCCCAGTCATTTTCCCAATGTCAATTTATAAAAAGAAGAGGGGATATGTTTCAAATCTATTAAGAACCCATCATCAGCAAATATGATTTGAATTGGCTGATGAATACTTGTCCACTATATAACGTTTTATAATTTGATTATATTAAACGTTGTGGTATTTTTACTACTTATACGAATGACAATATTCTTCGTCATTTTGCCTTTCTACACCTACAATAGTCAAATTATTCAACTCAAGTTCTGGAAATACATGTTTTCTTCTTCAACCATGGTTGTTTCCAAACGGCGGGGAACGAAAAGAGGGAAATCTGAAAATAGGCAATGTCCTGCAGAGATAGCTATAACTATAAAAAAATGAGAAAGATAGGAAGAAGAAATACACATTTGTTTAAGTAAGTTCAGTATGTACAGGGTGGTCCAGAAATTATTGTACATAGAAGTAAAGTAGGTTTTTGACTTCATAACATTGTGTTTTAGACCAACCCAACTTGATTCCAAGTTTATGAACAGTGTTTGAACAGTGTTTGAACAGTGTTTGAACAGTTTTTGAACAGAGGTGCATACAATTAATGTTCGATTTATTCTTTGGAGGGCGCCACATAACCCAAATTTGTGTCTTTCTTCTTATGGAAAAATATTGAATTCACGATACTTCACCTAAAAAAAACAATACTTGCTATCAATCACAAAACTCGACAGTTTTCGATAAACAGGTATTTTAGGAATCAGCTGGATTATTCTCATCCGATTTATCAAGATAAATATTAAGGTAGTAGGCAGTGAAGCTTGAACATATCAACCAAGTAGGTGAAAACTGTCAAGTTTCGGTAAAATAATTATGAATGACATTCCACTCTGGTTTTCAGCACCGCTGAAACATTCAACATTAGATTTGGACACCGTAACTATATAACATTCTAGAGTCCGACCACGATAAATTTGGGACAGCACGTGGTCGTGTATGCATTGAATATGCATATGCGTTGCGTCACATGCTGTCCCAAAGTTAACGTGGTCGGACTCTACTACCGATTTGGGCACTATTTGGTTTGAACATTATGCTACGCGATTCGGCACCGTTCAATTATTGGTTGTGATATGGAGCTGTATTTGAATGAGCCAATGAGAATTGAGACGGGTGCCGAATCCAATAGTGGAATGTTTAAATGCGACCCAGAGATATGTCTGCCTTTTAAATCACGGAAAATCCTTCGATTTCAGTTCCAAAAATCGGAATACGACATGTCCAAATGACGCTCATGTTTTTCCTGCTCGCAATTGGAGTGGGAATGCGAGTGCAACTCTCGGTAGCAGTGGTAGCAATGACGGACAGAAATTCAAGCTCGAATCCCGATATTCCCGTAAGTAACTCCGTGCATGAGAGCTCGTTCAGATGGTACCGAATCGGACATTTATACGAATCTGTAATTAACGGGTTTAATTTTCACAAGTAGGCTATAATGGTGGAGGTGACGATTCTTATTGTGTTGGTATACCTCCTGCAACCCGCACTCGAAAAAAAAATCAATTGTTGAAATAAGCAAAATTTAATTGAATGAAGAAAATAAAAGTGTCATATATGGACGACACAATATAATCTTGGAATGAATATGTAGTTTCAGAGCAAATTCCAAGTTTGATTTAGGCAAATAAACTCTGGGTCTTATTCAATCAAGCACATCCATGAATTATTAATGAAGATATATTGAATTGGCTCAAACAATAATTTTTTTTTCGAAATTACAAGATATTGATTCAATCAAATATTTAGTTGATTCAATGAATTATTTGGCTGATTCAATGAAGTATATGGTTGATTCAATGAAATATTCTGTTGATTCAATGAAATATTTCGTTGATCCGAGAGAAATAACTGTATTTACATTCTATACAAATTGTTTTGTTGAACCAAATTCAGTATTAATTCGGAAATTTTCTGAAATTTCACATAAATAGAATAAACTAAACTAGGAAACTAGTCGACTTCTAGCATAGATCTTCATCAGTCTTTACTTCTCTTCGGCTGATGCAAAACTATTTCGGATTGCTAATTATCCTAAGTTCGATTTATCCAGCTGATATTACAAAAAAATTGGTATAGTCATTATAGACGATATAATTTCCAGACTTACGACTGGGACAACACTAACGTAGTGTTATCATCGTTCTACTGGGGATACGTATTGTTACAACTAATTGCAGCGAATCTGGCAAAGATCTTTGGTACCAAATACTGTTTGCTGGGTGCAATGCTCGTGAACTCCCTTGTTTCCATGGCGGTGCCAATAATGGCCGCTGAATTCGGTTCTTACGGAGTTATGGCATGTAGAACCATGCAAGGGCTGTCGCAAGGATTTTTCTACCCTTCCTTATATGACGTACTAAGGAGATGGACTCCTATCACTGAGAAAGCTAGATTGGCTGCCATAGCTCTCAGCGGTGAGTACATAACAGTAGAACAGAGATTATACACTCTATAATCTCTGAGTAGAATGATAAAAATTGCTCAGTTTGAATTCTGGTAGGAAAATGATTCTTTCCATCATAGTGTAATGATTTCAATGGTGACGATAATTCGACTTTTCTTGTCGAAGTAAACTTGACAATTCAATGAGAATTTTATTGCCTGGAAATCATATTACCTCAAAGCAACAAAACTCGAATTATATTATTTGTCAAATCTTCTTCGTTACAAAAAAAAGCCTGAGTGTGATTTGTTAAGACAATTTGATGAATACGTGAATTACATTAGTTTTTTTCAATTTCTCCGTTCGAAGATGGGGAGAGGAGGTAGGTGTTGGAATTTGTCTGAACTCCTGGATGTTATCAGATCTTATTGGCGATACGTTCATTTGCAAGGAAATCCAAAGTTTCGCCGTTCTATATAGACGAACGAGTTTTAGAAAAGTGTTGTTCGACATCTTCCTAAACTTATAATCTCCAAGGATTCAAACACAATAATCCAATACCTACCTTATTTCCCTACACAAGGAGAAAAGGTGAGATCATTTCTATGCACAACAAACAAAAGTTTATGTATATATCAATTTGTGAAATATTTGTACAAATCCATCTAGCGGAAAACTACACAAAATTATGCACATCAATTCATCAATTCATCAATTCATCAATTCATCAATTCATCAATTCATCAATTCATCAATTCATCAATTCATCAATTCATCAATTCATCAATTCATCAATTCATCAATTCATCAATTCATCAATTCATCAATTCATCAATTCATCAATTCATCAATTCATCAATTCATCAATTCATCAATTCATCAATTCATCAATTCATCAATTCATCAATTCATCAATTCATCAATTCATCAATTCATCAATTCATCAATTCATCAATTCATCAATTCATCAATTCATCAATTCATCAATTCATCAATTCATCAATTCATCAATTCATCAATTCATCAATTCATCAATTCATCAATTCATCAATTCATCAATTCATCAATTCATCAATTCATCAATTCATCAATTCATCAATTCATCAATTCATCAATTCATCAATTCATCAATTCATCAATTCATCAATTCATCAATTCATCAATTCATCAATTCATCAATTCATCAATTCATCAATTCATCAATTCATCAATTCATCAATTCATCAATTCATCAATTCATCAATTCATCAATTCATCAATTCATCAATTCATCAATTCATCAATTCATCAATTCATCAATTCATCAATTCATCAATTCATCAATTCATCAATTCATCAATTCATCAATTCATCAATTCATCAATAATGAGCCTCAACTCTTGTAAATACGCTCCCAGAACTACGATGAATGAATGACATATTTTATTTTATTATTTTCAGGTGCTACATTTGGTACAATTTTCACTATGCCAATAGTCGGTACGATATCTTCTTCATGGTTGGGTTGGCCATTTTCATTTTATTTGTACGGGGGTATGGGTGTAGTGTGGATGGTGATGTTTTTTATATTTGGCGCAAGTAGCCCCCGAGAACATCGTTGCATTTCTGGAGGTGAACTGGAGTATATCGAAAGTTCGATGGATATATCAGAAGAAAAAGTAAGACACAGTAGGATATTAATGATGATCTCCTTCGTATGATTTCAAACCAATCAGAACCTTCAATACAGTTGATTTACCTTGTATAATTTCGAATATACGTGAATATACCTAGAGTCACTGATCCAATCAGAAATTCAGAGCGTCGTGAAATTTTAACGTTTAGAACTACTCAGAGAATCATCGCATCGAATATAATTCGAATTTCAAAATATCGAGGTTATACATCTCATACTTTCTTCACAATTGCAAATCGTGTCACTTCAACAGAATAATTCAACTGTCAAACTGACATTCTTGGTAGTACACAGAGTAGTTGAGGCTTCTGATTGGGCACTGGATTGCAATATTGTTGTTGTTATAATTCGAGGTTATAATTGACGAGAAAAAATAATTATACTTACTTCTTAAAGAGATAATTATGGATTCATACAAAGTATTTTTCAATGAGAGATCTCATCTCATTATTGTTGAAAATGAATATCTGATTCATTGTTAAAATGTAGGGAAGACGGTAAGTACCTAGTTCCTATCTATGATATACTTTTGTAACAGATGATGAATTTCTTATCCAATATATTAGTATCTTTTCTTAAACCAAACAGTTAATTAGAACAGCTGGTTAACTGACATCTGTCAAGCTTCGCAAGTAAACCATGACGTCATGATAAAGTCACCGTGACGTCATCATAAAGATCACCTGGTTTGTCTGGTTGGGTTCGTGGAAAAATGACTAAAATCTGTTAGGATAATTGCCGTTTTGTCCAACTGCACCCCACTTGACGTTACAAAGACACCTCAAATTGCATGAGTTCCGCTAAAATTGTTTAACATTGATATTTTTCAGGTTGAAGTGCCTTGGAAATCTATGTTCAGTAGTCTACCAGCTTGGGGACTTTTCATCATGCACATTGGAAGTACTTGGGGTTACGTAACTCTACTAACTGAAACACCAATTTATATGAATAAAATGATGGGGTTCGACATTGAATCAGTGAGTTCTCCAAGTATATAATAATCCCATACATACAGGATACATGGTGTTTCGACTGCTCAATGTGGTGTTTCTGTATGTATACCTATGCTATATTATCACAACTGTGACTGGTGCTTGGTCCAGGGCATACAGGGTGTACATTGCATAGTGTCACACAATAGACACTAAAATGAAATGATAAGTCGATGAACACGGGTCCGCAAGGCCTTCGGTTAAAAGATACGGGGGGTTAAATTCTAATTTTTTTGGGGTTTTTCTGAATATCTTCAGCCAGAGACGCAAGAAATGGATGAAATGTGGTATACAGGGGGTTTTCATCATGCTCAATTCGAATATGATCATTTTTACTGCGAATGAATAAAATAAAATTGAAATTCAACACCCCTTGCGGATCCGTGTTCATATGCCATGGATTTGGCTCAGACTGAGGGGTGACACAGGAAGGTATTCGAGATTTACCACCCAATTGGTATCAGATAGCATAATTCTCATCTCGTTATCAAATCGCAAAATCGAGTGCGAATTTCCGCACAGGAAAGTGCAATTTCTCAATCATTTTGCTCAGGAAATTGATTGGCACAGGTGCCGTTCGTTGAACTACAATGTTTTCACTTTCCTTTGAGACATATATCATTTCGATATCAGATGACGGTAGAAATCTGCAGCCGGCTCCTCTAATATTATGAAATGAAAGAGAAAGAGAATACCATTGCATTCCTACTGAAATATACAGGGTATTTAATTTGAAGTAACTAAGTTGACATTAGCAGTTTATATAACCCTGTAAGAAACATCAATCTGACTTCATTGGAGCGATAGTCAAAGTATCATCGAAGTTAATGCATGATTTTGGATGGAAATTTCGGAAATGATAATCAGCAGGCTTGGAATCAACATCTGTTACAATAATGAATATAGGGATATAGCCACTCGATCAAAAATCATCCTGTTCAAATGAAGACCTCGGTGCAAGAACCGGGTAACTCCTTGAGTTATTGTATTCAACATATAGAGTTCTTTCTTGCGCGTCTTTTGGTGTAAGAATCAAGCGAATCCAACAATTTCCTATTAAGTTAACACGGGAAAGGATTTACCTGATGAGCCATTGAGGTGCAAGAGTCGGGCAACTCCAGGAGTTACCCGATTTTAGCACTGAAATGTAAGCCATGACGGTGCTAGAGTCGGGCAACTCCAGGAGTTACCCGATTTCAGCACCGAAATGTACGCGTGTAGTGAGAGATGTCGGAGTGGGGTTTATTAGCGGCAAGCCTTCCCGCGTCTTCCATCGTGTGTAGCGTGATGAAAGTGAGCCCTTTCAAGATTCGGGGAGTGAAAATGTTCCAAAAACATAACTGTTGATGAAGAGGACCCAAATTCTGGCAATGTTTACGAAGATCAAGACGCAGGAAACGTCAGCGACTCTTCCTATGTTCAAAATACTATTTGTCCACAATATTTTCCGTTATATATTCCATTTTCGATAAAAAAGCAAGATTATTACACGAGTTTGACTATATTTTCAGAATTTTGTCTTTTTGGGGCAAGAAACAGGCAACTCCATTTTTTCAAACTTATTTTTTAACTTCTACAGTGTAAATGGAAACTACTATCTAAGTTAATACAGCTTATCTAACGTAACTCTAAAGGACATTTAGCATAATTTCCTCCAAGTTTCTCAAAAATATTAAGTTTTTTCCCATTACCCAACATTTTGAGAAATTGGAGCTGCCCGGTTCTTGCACCCAGGTCTTCAAATCAAGAAGATTTCGATTTGTAGACCTCACGATATTGTACTATCTTCTTCCCAAAGAGATTTAGTCTATCTCTTGTTGCAGTGGAGCTATAGAAGTTTTCGACAATACGTGCGTGGACAGCATGTAAAAAATGAGTGCCTCCATCTAAGTTTGAATGAATAATAAATACTTGAGATCGTTTTAATTTGAAAATCTCGATTTTGAACCGTGTACTACCTCAAGTTTTTCTGTACCTCCAACAATAATGTTGGAAAAAAATTAAGGGGATAAAAAGTTTCTCGTCGAGGTGCATATCATTTTTTTTCAACCACTAGCTATAAAACCTATACCATTATCCACTCCTTCTCGAGGCGTAAAGTGTGTTTCTATTACCAATGTACCACTAGTAAATAAATAAATAGCCACCTCTGTTGTAATCAAACTCAATTAACTGTTGTGATGCGAGATTCGCAGGAATGACACTCGAATCAAGTATAGGTATTTATCAATAATGACTCGTCATAGGTATGCTGTCATGGTCATGAGTACTGGATTTTGATTAGAATTGTAAATCGGTGCTGACATGTAATAATAGGCCCTTATTTCCGTTCCACAGAACTAAAATGACTGAAATGTATTCCTGTAGTGGTGAAAAAAAATCGATATATACCTTGGTCGTGAAGGATATTATTACCACGGGACCTTATATTCCTCAGCTGAAGCCTTGGGATATAATCTTGGTCTCTGGGTTATACTGATATTCTCTACTACCTTGGTGTATACATAATTATTTTCCATGTCATGGTCATGGATAATTATTGAAGATAGTGTTTTCATAGATACAATAGGTCTCTCTTTCGATTTCACAAAAGTGACAAAACTAAAATCATTGAAGTAATATATTGCTAGTGGTGAAAAAAATGTAATATGAACCTTGATAGTGAAGAATATTACAACCAAGGGACCTTGGCTGAAGCATCAGGATATACAGGGTGTTTCAAAATTCAGTATCAAGATTTTAGGGGCGTATTTTTCAGGTCAAAATAAGACGTTTTTGTCCATAAACATGTGTCCGCAAAAGCTTCGTTACCGATCTACAGAGCGTTAAAGTTAAACAAATACACGATGAGACATCCACCAACTTTCAAATAATGTCAAATGCTTCAAAACAAACCTAAACGTCAAAATGAAAATAGCAGTCAAAGCCCACTAATTCGCTTTTTCATTGTTCCGTTGAAAATTTTAATTAAATGTAGCGAATCACAAAAATTGATTTTACTTTTTTCTCGATAACGATCGCAGATGCGTGAAAATTACAAGAGACAAAATTATAAACAAGACAAAGAATTCATTTCGTATCTCAGAATTCACCAGCGGCGCACCACAAAAAAGTTTATGGGGTAAAAAAGGGCTTGACCCCTGAAAAAAATATCTCCCTGTAGATTCTCACAATCACTCGGCATGCTGGATGATGTAAGCCCTAGAACGTAACCTACATTCCAAATTTGATCTTAATATCTCAAAAATTGAAAGAGCTATGAAGAAAAAAATAAAAAAATCTTGAAACTTCAACGCTCTGTAGATCGGTAACGAAGCGTTTGCGGACACATGTTTTTGGACAAAAACGTCTTATTTTGACCTGAAAAATACGCCCCTGAAATCTTGATACTGAATTTTGAAACACCCTGTATAATCTTGGTTCCTCTGAAATAATGAAATCCTTTACTACCTTGTGTCATCTTGTGTATAAATAGCTATCATTGGTTGTTCGGTAATAATGGTGCTTTTCGGTGATCAAAAGATAGCGTTTTTGAAATATGATTATTCTGATCATTGAAAAACATATTTTTGTTGATTCCAATTAATGAATGACTGTATCTTATACTACTTATTTATATATATGAAATAATCAAAATAACTTCTTTGAATCGATCTTCAACGTCCTGTTTTCAAATCATGATCACGCCATGATGCATAGGAAGAGACATGTTTATCGAAAAAAGTCATCTTATTTCTCAGAATCAGAATCAGTCGGGAGAAATACATGAAAATCTGCGTTTTCATATTTTAGAATACGCTCTCTTCATTTAAAATATTTTCGACAATGCAGTGTTACCGCTTCTACTAGATAGAAGTAGCAACATTGATATTTCAAATGTAACACCCTGTATTTTATCGCATTTTTTTAGGTTCTTCCTGAAGAGCTGATTTCATCGATGTATCACACTTGGGGTCTATCGAAAAATATTACAGAGATATAGGGTGTTGAAAATCGAGATTTTTCAACTTTAGGATTTTTTGTGTCGAAACTATCCATTATCGGTGAAAACGGCTCACATGACCTTATCTCAACTTTTGATCCACTATTTACTGATATTTAATCGGAACAGATACAGGGTGGTTCGAAATTCAAAATTCTGATCACCCTGTATCTGTTCCGATTAATTATCAGTAAATAGTGAATCAAAAGTTGTTATAGGGACATGTGAGCCGTTCTGGCTGATGATAAATAGTTTTGACACAAACAAATCCTAAAGTTGAAAAATCTCGATTTTCAACACCCTATATCTCTGTAATCATTCCCGATAGACTGCAAGTGTGATATATCGATGAAATCAGCTCTTCAGGGAAAATCTGAAAATGCAACAAAATACAGAGTATTTTATTTGAAATAACAAAATTGTTGCTATTTTTTCATAGAAGCGGCAACACTGCATTTCTGAAAATATTTTGAGTAAAAAGAGCGTATTCTAAAATATAAGCATGCATATTTTCATGGATTTCTCCCTACTGATTTTCTATATAGAGATAGTGTAAGCTCGTCGAGACATTCCCTGTATATCACCTTTCCAAACTAATGTATCAAACTCTGGACCATCTTATTCTAAGTAATATAAGTTCTATATCAGCCCGAATATACCATAGAGTGTGTTTTACTTATTCACATATCATTTTGTTTCAACATTTTGACAAATTTAATTTTTCAGAATGGATTCATTTCTGCTGCACCCTATCTAACGTGGTTTCTGCTCAGCTTCGTTTTCGCTTGGATATCTGATTACCTGATGAACAATACAAATTTGTCAGATATTTGGAACAGAAGACTCATGAGTGCTATAGGTGAGTGAATTTACTAAAAAGCGCACGGTGAGTTCTCCTCGTTTGATATCAAACATAATAGTTATTTTTCGGAGAAACCGACTATTTTTGAAGGCAAGTAGGACTTTGGTCCGCAGATATTAACTTTCGCAAACTCTTTTCGACCGCTGCAGGGTTGCCAGCTGTACTGCATTTTCAGTAGATTACCTGATTTGCATAGTGATCTACATATTTACTAAAACATTTCATAATGTATTGAAAAATATTCCGATACCTTATAGACAATACTTTATCTGATTCAGATTCAATTCAATTCCTCATATACCTCTGTTATAACAATTTGCTTTCTTCGGTTAATTTTTTCGTTTGTTTTGTATTTTTGTTGTTCATTCTCCGTATTCGTTCCTTCTTTTCATATATACAAATCTTATTAGTACCTGAATAACTATGTTTTTTGTGATATTTGTGAGTATTTCTGAATTGAGAATAACTATAATATGATTATTTTTGAATGACTTTTCTGATGTTAACTGAACGAACATAATGTTCTGACGTCATAGGTTGATTTCATCATCCTTTCTTTAAATTCTTAGTATGAAATAGATCTTAAACAGATCTATTGAAATCTACTGAATTTTTGATAAGGTATTTACTGATGGAATATAAGTGCTTTAGGTCGACGAAAAAATGTAATATGCACCTCGACAAACAACTGTCTATTGTCTCACCTGAATGCTAGCCTCTGCTGTTATTTTTTTTTAACAAATTTTTTTCAGATGCTATCATAGGATTTTTGAAAGTTGATTTTAAATTTCAAAACATATTGACAGGAAAAAATTCAAATTTTCTGATTCCTATTTAGTTTCAATGGAGATATACTCTATATATGCTCACACTGTTTTGAACCTTTCAACATCATATTAGTTGGTTATGATATTGAATTTTATCCATGAGTTGAGAATTAGTATGGAAACTGCAAAATCTGGCATGATCTGACCCAACAAAATATTTAATTCGATAATTTTTCTAAGAGTTACGAGGGGAATTCAAGAAATATATCTTTTATGAAATTTCAATTATATGAGTAGGTATGGTAGGTGTATTGAGAGTATGATTGTGATATATAGTTGAGAAGGTAATTTTATACTCAATTATAATTTCAAGAAGAAAAAATACTTTGTATTTCGAATAAAAAAATTGTATGCTTTTCCGGTTACACCGGAAGTGTCATTTGGTCTGATACTAGCGAAATTAAGATAAATGATGATAATAATAAAGTAACGAAATCAAATCGATGTACCAAATTTGAATCATAATTATAAACAAACGAGCAACGAAGATACAGGGGAGTAAATTGGTTCCGGGTTACCCGGAATATGTGAATACTTATTCACATCTTTTTTCACAGCGGCCTCAAAAATGTCTCATATATTCGAAAAATTTGTCACCAAAGATCGCGATTGGATCCTACCGTAGTGCTTTGCCACTAGATGGCTACAACATGACTATAACTTCATGTTATACCCTGCGTCTTCGAAATGGGTGATATACTCGAAGCGTAGATTTGTCCCAGTTGTCAGCAGACCGAGAGCGGCTGATGACACCTGGTGGGTCAAAACAGTACTGTCTCGCTCCTGCTGATAATTGGGGCAACTCTGTTCATTCTGGATCTCTTAGTTATAAGATCTAGCAGTTGAATAGGTGGTGGAAAAGTTCCACTTGAATATGTCAGGTAGTACCATCTGTCAGCAGAGTGGTTTACTTGTAGTACCACTCCGTAGCGTATGAACGTAGGGGTCTTTACGTGTGACTATAGATGGCAGCGCCATACAGCGTATGTCGCGATCTTTGGATCCTGCCTTAGAGCTTTATTGCCACTAGTTGGCTACAACATAACTATACCTTTATATATATGTTATACACCCTGCGTATTTTGATCTCATTGAGAGGTCGTCGTTTGATTTTGTGGAAGCATCCCTCTAATAACAACTCCTATAATCTATTCATGAACCCATGAAAGTAGCCGTACTTGGTCACACAGCCACACAGGTGAACACAGCACATCACATGGGTATACTCTATGAGCTTTGTACCAATAAAACATATGTTTTTTTACAATAAAAATTATTGTACTTAAAAAAATTTATTGATTGTACTTATTTATCTTTATTTTGCCTATGAGCTGCTCTAATTTCGGGAGGTCGTGAGTAAGTGAAAGCTGTTAGCAAATCTGAATCCTTTTTTAGATAATTACTAGATAATATGAGATAAGATATACGTAAGATAAGATAAATTAGATAAGGTAAGATAAATGAGCGCCATGTATTTTATTCCTGGTTAAAATACAAAAACCAACAATCTATGCAAGAAGAACAGTAAAACAAATTCACAAGCTTAACAATTTAATTTCATGTGAAATTTACTATGTATTTACAAGAAAATATATATATACAAAAAAATGCAAAGTTTTGATCGAAATGAACTTGGGACTTGTTTTTGAGCAATGAGGGACACTTACTCCCATCGAACTTCTTCCTGAAGAGTTTCCTGAATTTCTGGATGGTTCTTTTCCCTCCTGTCGGACCTTGACATCTCCTTGGTGAGTGAGTTCAACTACTCAGTTCATCGAACTACTTCCCCACCAGGTGAACTTCGGTTAACTCGTCTGTCCCAGGAGGTTTCCTTCTCTGGAAGTCTTGCAAATCCACTGGATAATGTTGCAGGAAATCTTCGTTTCTTGCTGCTGTGCTAAAAGCAATAGAGCGAACAGAATCTGTCTGATACATGATTTTAGAAGATCGTGAAACCTCAATGGAGTGTCAAAAGTGCCATCAGACTCAAAACAAGTCTTGCAAGTTCTTCAGAATTTTACAAAACTGATAATGACCAGTAAAGATAAAGTGACCATATATACAGATATTCATCAGGAAGTAATATATACAATGATATACAATATAGGGAAAGATAAGATAAAATAAGATAAGATAATATTCAACAATAAGAAGAGAATTGCAAATTTGACAAGCATCCATCCTAGAGATAATGTAAGAAACATTGTATATTAAAAGATGCAATATTACGCAAAAAGATAAATGACAAATTAGATAGAATCAGATACACGATATGGAATGAAAGATAAGACATTTTGGATACTGCGATTTTCAATCAAGTAGGTAATTCGGAGTTGTTTAAATTCAATTAGTTAAGAAAAAGATAATATATTGACTAGCAGATAAGTGAATGGCATCAAGTTAAGTAAATAAGATATTTAAGATATTGAAGTTTATTTCTATTTGAAAAGGTAGGTAGCTTTTAATCTTGCAGATAAATCAAATTAATTATTCAATCGAACTTATAATCTTTATGAAACACGATTTTCTAGCCAACAGAGTGGATTGACATGTTCTTCAGTGAGCAAGCAATATTTTACAACAGATATGACATATAGTCTTGATTCATAAAAGTTTGCTACTCACCTCAGAACGTAGTCAATCCTGGATTCAGCTCAGAAAATCCTGTTTCTTCAGACTACAGATATTCAGTCAGTTCCATTATCAGAATGCCTCCAATGCTCTAATATCTCCAAATTTGGTTTTCACCTCGTGAAATAATTTGACATCTGGAAGGATCCAATGGAACTGAAAGCAGAAAAAATCCGACAGAAACTAACTTCATAATAATTACAAGTTCTACAATTCTCTTTGATCACTGAAAAATCAAAAATACACTCATGAAATACTCGTTCATGTGTTCAAAGATAAAATTGGTCAATACTAGTCCTTATTCTATACTAGGATGATATTGCCAATCAAAGATAAAGGTAAAGATAAAGATAACGTGAGACCACATGGTGTCTCACCAAAGGAAAATCAATCACATGATTTTTATAATGAAGAAAAATAATTTCCTCAGTAAATAGAAATAAACTTCCTAGGTAATAGAAAATATTTAAGTTAGAATTTATAATGAAAAGAAAACAATATTCAAAAGCAATCCATTCAGTTACCTGTAGTTTTGTTCATTTCAGAAAAAGTTGCTCGACGTCTTATCTCTAGGATGGATCTTCGTCAAAAGAGAGCGATTCTTCGTTTCTATCACCCTGCTTAAATTATTCCGCTCGGAATAAATTCGATATTACAGTAGTGTTGCCAATTTTACCAAAATTACAAGAAACTATTTCCAAAAATACAATTTCAATTTACCACCTTTCTGTCGAATATACATTGAGAAAAATATGAAATAATACACTGAGAGTTGAAACAAGAGTTCAAGCAGACATAGATAGTGAAAATGAGCAGAAATCAGAAAAATGATTTAATTAGCTGAATAAAACAAGCCACAAGCACAAGGGTCAGAAACACATGAAAAGCGACAACCATGTGCCGTGCATGAGAGATCATGTGGTATACTTACCTGTCGAATATCAGCTAATAAACCAATCAGCGAGCTCTCACGAAAAACAGTATACGAGGTAAATGAAAAGTATCACCGAAAAGGAACGAAAATTCACAAGTGTGAGATTTTTCGTTACAGCTTTTAGATTCCATTGATTTTCAGGGAGTTTCGTACCTGGTACAGCTTTGATGATATTGAGTTTATTACCGAAAGACGCTATCAATTGGTCAGTGGCCATGTTGATCATAGCTGGAGGATTCTTAGCGGCAACTAGTAGTGGATTCATGGTGAATCACGTGGAACTATCTCCGCAATTCTCGGGATATCTCCTGGCGATAGGCAACACTGTTGGCAATGTGGGTTCCATTTTCGCGCCCCTATTTGTACAGCTAGTGGTTACTGGAGATGGGGTAAGATTTGGATAATGAATACTTTGTGTCAGGTAGCACATCATCAATCAAAATATGCTTTGAAATTTATATCGACGACGTCGTGAAAATGTTTAAATTAGATGAAATATAAAATAGTTGACACATAAAATATACAAATAAACTAACATGCTAAATTAAACACATTACACATGACATCAAGAAAGATTGATATTGAATCCCAATTCAATATTGAGTCATTGAGTGAATTTGGAGATATAATATTGTTCGAATATGGTCGAATACTGGAGAATCCATAATATTCTAATAGAAGTTTGGAAGTGAATAGTTTGCCGATTGCTCGGCAGATTATAACCGACTTTTTAGTTCAGTCATTGAATGGGATGTAGAAGACATGGAAGATAACACTTGGAATGTGTTTGGAGTAGATATGAAGTGAAAATACATAACATTTTTTATATATTGTTAGTATTTTTCAGTTGATCATGATTATGAAAACGAAACAAAAATCGAACATCGCGACCACGAGTGATGTCGAAAGGTGATTTTTGGTAATATTTTATTCAATCGGGCACCCTGGCATGAGTTAGATTGATTATTTGTTGAAATAAGTAGAATACAATGTATACTCAATGATTAACAAAGTCATCTCCACGACATTTGATGTGATTAACACATTTAAACTGGTACATGTCCTATATCGAAATTACATAATTGTCCTAAAATCAAAATAGTTATTAGTACAATCAACAAGAGTTATGAAAATAAGAATGCTTACATGGGGATGATAAAAGGTTATGTCACCAACTTTTTCATTATAATATTATGTAGTGAAGGGTTTCAATGTGAAAAATGTGGTAGAACCCAACAAACCTCCCGGAAAACTGTCATTTGAATTTGTGGTGGGAACCAACAAATGTCACACATGGATATGCGACGTTGAAAATATCAAAAACGTGTCTAACGACGGATATCAACTGACCTAGGCGAAAAGGACCACGGCATGTGTCCCAAGTCATAAGTCAATAAGAAAGACAAATGGCACGAGACAACATGGTAGTGATTGTCCACCCAGCGGAGATGATAGCCATTGGTGTATTAGAAAAAGGAGAGAAGAAGATGTCTGTGGGTTATGATAATGAGGTTATGTTAATGAAACTCAAAATTCAATTTGAAACACAAAGACCATGGAAGGAGAAAAATACAACTGATATTTCTGATTATTTTGTTACATGTAATGAATTGAAAAATTTCAGGCTATCATAATGGGTTTGTTCATTTAGTGAAATAACACTGTTGTCATTTGAAGAAATGTTGATTTCAAAAATCTCTGACAGATTCAATAATTATAAAGAAGTAAGCACTCTTATTCTCATAACTCTTGTTGATTGTACTAATAACTATTTTAATTTTAGGACAATTATGTTATTGTGATATAAGGCTGATGATGGACATAGATATGTACGAAACATGTTCCACTTTTTGATGTGTTGATCACATTGAATGTCGTGGAGATGACTTTGAGTATCATTTAGTATTCAATACTTGACTTCACTTTGAGAAACCATGGACTTCTACCAAAGATAAAAATACATTATTATTATTTTCAGACAAACAAATCGCAGTGGAGGATCGTTTTTATTACAGCTGCCATGATGTATTTCATACCCACTATATTTTATCTGTTCATTTCATCTTCAGACCGTCAAGCCTGGGATTCTACTGGAAAGCATGAAGAAGACGACGAAACTGGTAAACAACAAAGAATCAAAAAAATCTCTGTCTATTCCATCATGGCATCATAAACTATATAATTATACTAGTGACACTAAATTCTCATTCGAAGTTCGACGAGCGGAGCGAGAATTGCGATATAATCATATTAGACTTATATGGACTTATTATTGTAATATATTATGATGTTTTTTACTTTGCAGTCAATTGTATAGTTTCTAATATACTCTAATTCAGAAAATGTGGTTGATTAGACATTTTGAACATTAGTAACTTTCAAAGTAGTTGATACTGTTGATAGCTATAACAATGATTGAATATCCGAATGAGTCATTCTTCAATAGAGATTTCAGCTCCAGGTTATGTTGTCCCCTGACGCGTAGCGCGGAGGGGTACAAAAGAGCGTGAGCTAAAATATAATATTTTTCCCTTGTATGATACACTATTTTTTCCTGTGGGAAAAGAGACGAATTAATATTGAGAAGATATTACATTATTTTGAAATAAGAAAATTATCGAATGAAATTTGAAGTTTTTAACAGGAATGACACTTGCGTTGCAGGCATCTTCATCATTCTTTTGAAGTAATCAAATATCTGTCTGTCTAATTTCGTGATTTGATTTTAATAAATTGCGAATTTAGGGGGGCCAGGTAGCCGTGCGGACAGAGTGTCAATATTCTAATCCGCATTCGCTTGCCGGTCGTGGGTTCGATTCCTATCGACTGCAGAAATTCTTCTGATGACCCAAGAAACTGTTTGGGATCACACATTAAAAGGTGAGGCCCCCGTCATTCCTTAATTCAGAACAATTAAGTGGTTGTTTAGTAATTTACGTTACCGCGGAGTCGAATGGAAGAAAAGGATTTGCAGTTCTTTCTCGGAGACGGTGTTATTGGCTTATTTTTCAGAACTATACCACAACAAATGGCATCAACAGTGTATATATATATATATATAAGTATGATATATTATATCCTGAAATAAAATACTCCTTTTTCCCGTGGGATGAGGGTAATTTATGGAAAGTGACATTTTATAACCTATCAACAGAAATGAAATTTCGAGCTTTTTCCCGTCACAGAAAAAAATATATTAATTGACACTTCAGAATTAGAATCAAACTGAGATATCAACTAGGGAAACGCCAAATACTCCAAGTGGAATGCAATGGTCACAAAGAGAGAAACACAAAAGTCATTACCAAAATAGTTCATAAAATGAACGAAAATGGTAGATAACGAGAGAAAAATAACTACCTTCCTGGCTATATTTCCCCTGAAATGGGAAATTGTTTTGGAGTGTTTCCTTCCTTGCCAGGTGACGTTTGCGTTTCATTTCGCGGACGTTGCACGCCTCGTGGGGTATAAATGCTGAGATGCGTTTCTGTTGGGTCAGCTTCGCTCCAGATAGCGGTCAAGAAGCAATCTGGGATAACCCTGTACTGATGAGAGCCAACAGCTCGAAACCGGTCTGCAGGTAGTCAAGCGTTCCTGAACCACTTAAGCGCAGCTCGGCGTTTAGGAAGAAAACACTTGCGATTTTATTCGCCTATACGAATTATTGCATAGATTTCGGGCGGATGTAATACAATGTTCTGCTCAACATATAGCCAGGAAAGTAGTTTTTTTCTCTCGTTATCTACCATTCTCGTTCATTTTATGAATTATTGTGGTAATGACTTTGAGTTTCTCTCTTTTTAACTGAGATATAGTGGAATTACGAGAGTAGACAGAAAATTTCCATCAAATGCATATATTTAAACAAGCGAAGGAAATGTGCATGCACCTGAAAGTCAACCACATCAATGTTGCCAGCCAGTGAAGGGTGTAGAGGAAATGAGGAAGTTTTGACAAGAATACCTTGAAATACTATCTTCAAAATGATACGATATATAAAGTCTATATAATAATATGGAAAAATTCAAGGTAAGGGGGAAAAATCAAATCCTCAGTATATCGTGTTTTGGAATTTTTTCAAGAACAACGTCACATTTTTCAGCCACACATATCTCCTGCCAGAAAACTACAACCTTTCTTCAGTGCTCGTCTATTTTCCATAAATACACTATAAAGTTCGATGCGTTTCCTGTGAATAAGAAACAAAAAAGTAACAGGGCATGGCAATATCACTGATGTTCCACCTCAAGAATAAGGTTGAGAAGCTAACCAATATAACTATTTTAAGATGACATCCCAGCGAACATTTTGATGTGGGGCATCAATGGTCTAGTATATTTTTCCCATACCTGACATCAGCGGCCCAGTAAATGGTCCCATATGCGGGACTCTATATATCAGTACACTGCGGCCGGCAGCTGGTCCCAGTGCTGGTTTCCCAGCAATCATATTCAGTTACCCGGCAAAAGGCTAGTACAATATAATCGACGCATTGAGTTTCCCATAGCAAGCCCAGCATATACATAATTGATGGGACTGTTATGGCCAATTAACGACATTGGTTACATCCTATCGAGGTAGGGGAGGGGTAGGGGTTTTAGGGGTCGATCTGGAAGTTCTAGTACCTCTTTATTTCAAAACATATCCCTCTCATCATGAATCAGAAATATACCAGATTTCAAGAAAACAATTTTATGAATGACACAATGATATCTCCTTAACCTCTCTGTTCTTCAACGATGAAACTTCTCGGAGTGACTGCTTACTGGTTGGTGTGTGGTATCTATATCTTATTGGGTAGCATTCCTTCGAAGATGATTCTTCGTTGTGAGGTACTTCTGAAATATAAAATGCATCATTTGTTTTATATTAGTGACCTATGAGTTGCATGAGTTTATAATTTGATAATATAGTCAAATGACGTGATAACATGGAGCTTTTCAATTCTCATGATCTTGGCACAGGTAATTCTGTAGCTGAAACCTTATTGTTATTCAGTTCTTTAATATAGAGATAGGTTCACATAATCTGAGATTGCTTTTGATAGCAACAAACGAGTTAAAAATGATGGTTGCTTTTAGAGAAGTATAGTTAACTCCAATTATCATGATCATTAGGTATATGAGGTTACGAGATACCAAACACATGCATTAAACAATGAAATTCAAAACACTATGTAGGTACATTGATACTTACTCAATATTATCATAATTGAAGAATCTGTGTTCTATTATTATCAATTGAGAATACTCCTGCCATCATGAATAACCACCACGGACAGAGAGGACTACATTAATTCGACATAAACAAACTAGTACTCGATCACCACTCACGAGAGTCAGCCATCTTAATCACATATGATATTGATCAGCTGATTGTTGATGTAGACGTTCCCAAAACATCCACCAGGGGGACGGGTAGTGAATATGAAATTGGCCACCAAAGGGCCAGATCTCGTTAGTATTCAATTAGTTCCAGACATCTTACCATCACAAGGCCATCATCGTTTTTTACACTGATGGTTACTTGGTATAGGAAAATCATCGGCCCAATACCTATACCCCGGCATCGTCACTTTCCCAGACTAGCCTGAAATGGCCGGACTTCTCCCGCTAGTTCAATGTTTGCTGGGATATTTCTTATGAGAAATATCTACTGAGCTCTCAAGATCTGGTTCTGGAGAGTCACGAATGCCGCATTCTTGATTCATCAGAATCAGATCCTTTCCAAATCTAATATTTTCTCAATTTTTTTCATGTTTTTCGAATCTCGTGGACGACTTCATCTTTTTTGAATATTAACTAGATATTTTCAGATTTCTCTACTGGTTTTTGGATTCATGGAGCCAAATAGACACTAGTTGAATTATCCCTAAATATAACTGTGTTGATGGATTGAGCATATAATAATCTTCAGCAAGCACAATCCATTGCCATAGTGATTTTCAGTGGCGGCTCCTCAGAGAAGGCAACGGAGGCTGAGCGTCCTCAGAGATTTTCCTTAAACTAATATTATCTATACTTTCTCATTAAAAGGACACCAAAATATATGGATTTTGATTTTATTTCCTTTTTTTAATTAAATATTTTTGAATTGGCAACAGTGCTTGCCCACGCATCACACGTTGAAGTCTGCAAATCACGCGTAAAATATTCAAATTGGCAACATCTATTGGAGGCTAGACTCCTTCACAACGCGCAACTTACGCGCGCAATGCAAATGCCCGAATACGCCCGAATAGCACGTGTTTGTCGTGTCGCTTCGCGAATTGCGGACAAACGCGAGTGCATTGTTTATGTTTATGTTAAATTAATGGTTAGAGGCTCTATAAATTCCTGAAAAATGAGTGTTTTAAACGATTGCGATTTAGTGGAATTCTTTCTGGTGAACCCATTCAGTGCTTTGTCTTATGAAGATAAATTGATCGTGAAAAACAAACGTCCGACACCGGAATTAAAAAATCTGATTGTAACAGGTAACAAAAATCGTTCGTACAATTCTGATAATTATAAAAAATATATTTGGTTGACGGGATCTGAGGTAAGGAATACGCTATTTTGTTGGTACTGCGTATTATTTTCAACCGATAAGTCATCATGTTGGGGGCGATTAGGATATAATGATTTGAAAAATTTGCCTCGCGGATGGGATAGACACTGCAAATTACAGGAACACATCTCTTCAAGTATTAAGTCCAGGTTGACTGGTAAACAGAATGTCATTAAAGCTATCGATTTGGGTGTGTAGAGAGTTGTTTCTCACAATTAATCATTCAGCCTCCTCTGTCATGAAAGCCACGAGCCGCCACTGGTGATTTTTCGGGACAGATCAACTGTTTTTTCATTCAGAGAAGATCAATCAGTTGTTTCTTTAAATAATTCGAATGAAAAATAAACATTGTCCAGAAACATTGAATATATATCATGAAGTAACATTGATGTTATGAAATCTATGATACATTCATATAATACTACTGTACAGGGTGAACAACTAAAAACGGCTGTCGACCATATCTCAGCAACAAATAATGATACAAGTTTGAGATAGAATAAATCTAATGGTATGCATATCATTACACGACGATGTTATAGAGAAACTAAATCTCAACAGACCAACGAAAACCGCAACATAGCTTTTCGCCAACGGAAGATATAAACTATCAAAGTTGGAAGAATGATAGATATGACAGCCGTTCGTAGGTTTTCACCGGGTACATCACACTGTATATATCTATATGTTTTCGTTACGTATTATGTTTAGTGGAAAAATGTGTCGTTGATCCGATGAATCATTCTTCTTGGTGACTTGCTGCACGAAGATTGATTAATTTATTCTACGCTCTGATCGAGTCTAATATCCAATCCAGATAAAAATCGACCCTAGTGTTAACTGATGGAACTCTCTCCTTCCCGCATACAGCCGGTCCGAACGACACAATTCCTCTTTGAACATACCTCACATCTCCGTTGACATACACCTGAGTCTGCAGAGGCCCTCCACTATCACCTGGGCAGGTCGCCATCATAGATTTGGAGCCTCCAGTGCAAATATGTTTTTGTGTTATCCTGGGTGAATCATTGTAAGTTTTTTGACATTGTTTCTGGTCGACGATTGATAATTCTGCCCGCTGTAGAATCATGTTGGCAGTTACTGGAAATTAAAAATGGTATATTGTTTAACGAGCACGGAATGATTGTGATTTCCTACGAGAATGAAGTTTCAAGTCATAATTCAATGCCGCATTGATGTCAAGAAGACATAGGTGAACGTGACGTCATTCAGCTGTGACTTACTTACCAACGTCATTTAGATGTCTGTTTCGATAGTATTAAATACGTCTTTTGGTCGAATGAGATACCGTCTTTCAGACGTCAGAATTATTATAGTCGCCATGTTCTGTTACCTGGGTTACATATATTCATTTTCTTTAAAAAAATTTATTTGACTGGATTTCGTAATACGCATATACCTAATCTCTCAATAAACTGTACAACTCGTTTTTTGAGGAATTATATTCAACAAACAGCTTATAATTACGATTTCATTCACTTTTATAGTTAGTATACCTGTTGACATCAGTTCTCAGTCGTGAGAATTGGCAACTAATTATGTATTTTCATATAATATTATGGAAACTTACATGCATTCGTGAAGGGAAGGCCCCATCCAGTCACAGTTAATTTTTTGACCTCTTGCTCATTCGATTTCGGATTAATTGGCAAACATATCGGCTTCACATTTTCTGAAAAAAATATTACTATTGATTATATAAAATACAAGCAAATTTCATTGTTTCAACAAATGTTGCACCTGATATTGAACCGGTTTTTATATGTGGTATTGCATTGATACAGTAATTTGATGAGTTCTGGCGCATACTCATCAATCGAATACAAAATAATGTAATAAACGTGATGTATTGGTTCATTGAGGATTACGGCCTTTGCAAGCTAAAGTGTAGGGTGAGTAATTACCCTGACGGCACCTCATATTCCTAGAATATGTCTTATACATCCCACTCTCTAATAAATGCTGCCATATTCCTGGAATATTCCATGATTATGTGCTTAATCTAATATCCTCGAAGAATATTTCTGGAATATGTTTTTCGAATATTTATTAGATACCTATGTTTTTCGAATATTCTAGGACTATTCACGAAGGAATAATACTGTTATGTGGTTTTACAGTCCACAGTCACCTAGTGAAGGACGTGATATCATCATGGACGCGAATGACTCGATTGCATTTATGATAAACAGACAAAATAAGGGCATTGAATAAGTTGATTTAGCTGAAGTGTTAGAGTGTGTATCGATTACTGTGAATAGCGTTGATATCAATGATAAAGACCTAAATGTTTCGGACTTTTGAAGGTAGTTACAATAGGAAAATTGAACATCAACCTTAGAAGTTATCTTTTGGCCGTATTTAAAACAACCTCGTTTCTATAGAAAAGTCACTGATGTGTCTCAAATCCTCAATAGAAAAGGACCACAAGGAAACTCAAATGACGCTCTATACTACCTGTGTGTGTATATGGGGACGCGCGCTTTGAGGTAATTTTGAACATTTACTCGTAGAGAGAGACTATTATAAATGAGAGGATAGGAAGATTGGCTCAAACTCTCCAAATCAATGCTTGAAAGTGTATTGTTGAATATATGTAGAAGAGGAGTTATAGCTTTCTTGGAACTATTGTGCAGAAACTGATGCCCCAACGATTGACCATTCCGGCAAAAGAGAAATATTGTTTGACCTGCAACACCCAGTTGTATTTAGGATCAACGTTATCGAGCCTGAGCAGTCTTGAAAAACAGACCTTTGGTAGTCGATGTGAAAGAGCTGCAGTGAAAATCAGATAAGAAAGTTTTGTAACTATACTATGTACCACTATAAGTTAGGGTTGGAGGTGTTGGTGAGATGTCATGAATTGTCAATCCCAATATCTCATTGATGTTGAAAAAAATGAATATAAAAACATACTGGTCTGCTGTAACCTCTGCTAAACCAGGGGAAATGAAGGTGTTATATCTTTTTAAATCAAGCCTTCTCAAGCTGATGGTGGGTAGCTTGGAGATAGTATGGGAACCTCTAGATGTAATCACTCCCTGTAGACTGCTCGACTGCACTGCTGGAAGGAACCGTAGTCGAAAGGTGGATGTCCCTCCTCTCTCAGTGCTCAGGAACCAAATATCTTGCGAAGAAAGCTCCAAGGCTGACCAGAATGCTCCCTATAGGATTGTTTGCTTGAACTGACTTTGGAGGTAGCACCTACCTGACTCAAAAATTCAAAAAATTTTGATTAATTAATCAACTCAACGGAGCTTCATCAGCGGTCAGGCCATCAAAGGAAAGACAACGCCGTAGGTGAAATGGAAGTGATGATTTGACATTGACATCACAAAATGACAATTTCAAAGTCAGCGTAAAACATTTTGAATGACAGTCAAACATATGAAAGATGAGTTTCAAATTCAAAAAATTGACATTATTGACGCTAAAAAGTTATACAATTCAATAAAACTATGTAAACAAAAACAATAATTGATGATAGAGATGTACGCGAAAAGGGTCAAGAAGAGCAAACAAAATTCAAGAAAGAAGAATAAATGATTATGATAAAGAGTGTTAAAATTCCGAAGAATCACTAAGACCACACAGAAATTGAATTGAAGTTTCGATACAACGATGAAATTTACCAACCTACTACATGGAACATAACCTTGAAATCGACGTTAAATCAAAGGAGTTCATCATCATTCATCTGACAACACTGTCACAACAATGACAGATGACAAATGATACCGATCACAATGGGCAAGGATGGGCTTATATCACAAGAAGAAACTATTTCATAATTCGATAGAACTCACCCAAACTAGCTCACCACCGCAAAACGTTTCTTGCTGTGAGCTCTTTACGTTTTATAAAAAATTATTGAAATCCCCGATTTTTCTGACCTCTGAAAACGAGGCGATGATGTGACCCTGAAAACCCTAATACTGAAACAAGACTTTTCCAGACAGAGATGAATGATACATGATTTCTGACAGAGTGCATTAGCGCGAGATCTCAGTTGAAAGAATCAATGTATCAGTTGCCTCAGTTTCCGCCAGGCGTTTGGTATTTTCTTTTAACTATGGCGAGATGAGGTTCTTACGTCATAATAGGGTCCGTTTTCAGAAGGTACTATATTATTTATGTCCAAAAATGAAACATTCCAGTTAATTTTCCGATCGAATTATGTCGTCAATCATTATTTATGTATAGAAGGATCATTATAAACATGGTTTGACTTAAAAGTTCTACTAAGGTGTACACGCCCATTATCTCATCAATAATTGTCATCAATCAATCAAGGCAACCTATAGGACTTCGCTAGAAAAACATGAATGATATAAAGTTGAGGTATTAGTAGGCACTATAACTCAGATAACAAACATGAATTCTTTTTATAGGCGGCTGATTAAAATAGAATATGTTCGATTTTTCATTGATCAACAACTGGATGAATATCAAAGAATATACCTGTTTACGACTTTATACAGTGGGGACCAATATGATGTAGTAAACAATGCACCAAAGAATAAAAAGTCTGCTAGAGCAATTTTAAATACTATATAATATCACGATAAGTGGGTGATTTTTCATAAAATCACTATCATATGTGTCGATTGTGAATTGAAAATGATTGTGATATATTCATTATTCCAGATTCTTTGGGATTTTCTCTCCTCGTCTCCATAAAATAAAAATATAAATACTATTTCAATATACGTGTAGTTAGGACAAATCAGATGATTTTCCCCGAAATGTCAATGCGTTGTAAGAATTTTCCTATCAGAGAGCCTAAAAGAAAAATTCACCAGCTTGTCAGTGACAATTTGTATTGAAAAAGGTTCGGAAAAGAGAAATGAATTACTTTGGGCGTTTCGGCAACGAATCTGCTCCCGTTTTCGACATAAAAAATGGATTATTTGAATTGCAAACTCGTATTTGTCCTGACATTCTTCAGTTCTCAGCCCTTATACAGGAATTTACTTAATTACATTCTGGTCTTACCTACTTTGAAATTCATCTTGGATACTCTCAACAGAGCGATGTCATCATGATGCCTTCTTCTATAGTTCGGATGAATAATTATGTTTTCAACTGACAAATTCTGAACTGGAGAAGCACACCGAGTTGGTACACAGTCTTTTTCTTTGGCTAAATCGTATTCTCCTACTCTCACGTATATCCTACGGAATAGTTAATTATACAGGGTGATTCAAAATTCGATGTAAATATTCCAAGGGCGTATTGTTGGGATCAAAATAAGACTTTTTCTTCAAATCAACATGTGTCCTAAAATGCACCCCCTCCGAGCTACAGCCCCTGTAAGTTGGGAAAAAAAACAAGATTATCTAAAACTGTGACTATAATAACGAATTGAATCTTCTGAAAATTGGCATACCCCTGTTTTTTTAGGCACTCTATTCTTTTTTTGCTCCAAAAATTATGTAAACCCAGTTTTGGGGGAGTTGGAGGGGGGTCCACACTTTTATTGGCCCAATTTTTATGTTCAAAAAGTGAAACTATGAATTCGAATAGCATAATCTTATTGGCCATAAAAAAAACTGAGAATTCGGTGTCTTGCATTTTTGTCATACAACTAACCGTTTGCCAGAAAATCGTAATCAACGAAAGGGGGGTACTTTCACAATATCAAACTAACTTTATTGGGTAATTAAATAATTATTAATCTCATAATAAATGTTGAAAATGTCCTCCCCTTGCTGCTATACAACTTTCCATTCTTCTTTGCATAGAACGTCGAACACGTTCTAAAATCCCAGGAGTGGTTCTTATGTTTTGGAAAGCATCAATGATGCGTTGACGGAGGACCTCAACCGAATGCACGGGTCCAGCATCATGAACAGCACTTTTCACATATCCCCATAAAAAAAAGTCTAATGGGGTGCAATCCGAGGAACGTGGCGGCCAAGCTATTGGACCAGCTCTACCAATCCAACGATTTGGAAAAATAAGATTCAAATGATGGCGTACTGTTAAACGGAAATGAGGGGGAGCACCATCATGCATGAACCACATGCGTAGACGAATGTTAAAAGGCACATTTTCCAATAAACCGGGCAAATCGTTTTGCAAAAAATCTAGGTAAGTGTCCCCATTTAAAACTCTTGGAAAAAAGAAAGGACCAATAAGCTCATTTCCAACAATTCCTGCCCATACATTTAAACTGAACTGTTCCTGATGGCGGGATTGCCTTATTTCATGCGGATTTTCCAGTGCCCAAACATGTACATTATGATAATTCACCACACCATCTCGCGTAAACTGAGATTCGTCGGTGAACAGGGTCCGAGATAAAAAGTTAAGATCCCTCGTGCACTTCCTGGATATCCACCTAGCGAACTGCAAACGCCGCGGAAAATCCCGTGGCAGCAAACCTTGAACACGTTGGACGTGATATGGATATAAGCTGTTTTCGTGCATAACGCGCCACACAGTTGATTGGGAAATACCCAAATTTAAAGATATTTGTCTAGTACTCAACTGGGGATTTTCGTCGATCATATTTAAAATTTGTTCCTCTGTTACTGGGTGGCGAATTTCTCGTGGCCTGCCTGCATCATTTCTTACAGTTTGGAATTTGCCGTATTCACTGAGATGACGATGACAATTTGTAAATGTACGATGATCGGGGTTTCATAAGCAATGACTTGAATATCAGAGGTTGGTAAATTCCTATCAAGAAGACAGTGAATACGAACATGTTTCCTTACTTGGTTTCTTAATTTTCGTATGTAATACAACAATTTAATCGATGATTATCAAAATACGAATTCTTTTGATTTTTAGAAGCAAATTATGTTGCTTTTCAACTACCAAAGCAACATGATTTGTTTTCAGAAAGAGAAGGTACTTCTCAATAATCTTCGAATGAACGAGTTGTATTCGATGATATTATTTCAAGAATGAATCAATAGCTCTGGCAAACTTTCATTTACGCGTAATGAATGCCCATTCCGTGAGGATATCCGCAATATTTTCATCGGATGTATTTTCTTTCAGTTGTTGATTTCATTGATTGCAGAATTCTGTGAATTGTTTCCAGATATATTTTTCCGATTGCACGGTATTTCACGGCGTTAGATCTTCAATCCTCCGAGATTGTAATCACCGAAACGGTTTTTGTCATTCATTTCATGTGTTTATCGACTTTCATTTTAGAATCAAGAAAGTTTGTTGTTTTCCTGCCACAGCCCTCTCTATTCAAATGAGCTCTGTTAAAACTCCACTTCATCGCGCTTCATCACCCATAGACCATCAACAGAAGAACAGAACGCTTATGCAACTAACGAAAAAATACTCAGCATTGCGGATGAGATAGATATATTCGATAGGTTTGCGGCTGCGTCGACGGTCACTGATAGCATTAATTTTATTTACGGTCGTTTGCGTTTTGTCGTGGTTTTTATTTATTAATTATTTAGAAGTCAACGGATATTGTTGGGCCAATTAAATTTTAAATGATAGTGTGTACCTATCTAGTTTCTGGCAGAAGTTTGAAGTTTTGAATGTGATTCTGTAATTATATTATGACAGCATCGACAGTTTTCTGTTAAGTCATCATTGATTTTTGTTTAATAAACTGCCAATGAAGAAGCAAAATACAAGAAACAAAAACACAACCATGTGTAGGTATCCAGTAGCCAATCAACTGCCGAAATACAAAAACGAAAACATCATGATTCCGATTATCAACACAGACATCTCCACCAATCAAGAACATGTATTTTAAAATGAGACACTGCTCAAACATTCAAGGGTCTTGTTGCAAGTTTGAAGAAACTCAAATATGAATCAAAATACGAAATGACATTCAAGCGCATGAGTATTTCATCGTGTCAAATTCACGAAATTGTATCTGAATACTCTTTGTATGTGGTAATGGAAACTTCAAGCAGCATATTCAACTTATTCAAGAGGATTCTTGATGAATCTGTATCAACCAAATGAGATAGATACATGTACTTACGATTTACGTTTTGCTTTAGTGAGACAGTGTGCTGCTGTGAGAATATATCTCTCATTGATTATAGTACCTCCACATATTTTTGGAAACACTGAAAAAAACATATTTCGTGTTATTGGTGAATTTTAATGTTTGAACGTTCTATTCAAATATTCTTATATTGAACGAAAAATGTGTTATTTACAAAATCTAGGTTATACAGTGTGTCCATTTAGTGCGTAATTCTTCGATATCTCCAAAGCCATAACCTATAGGAAAAAACTTGAAAGGGAAAACATCTTCAGTTACTCAAGTTGCTTATTTCAAAAATATTTTCAACATTACTGGGTGTTTTATGAAAGCGGGATGACTCGGAGACGAGTTTTTTTAAATGGAACACCCAGTATTGTTTATTCGGAATTTATTCCGCCGAGGTTTACTTTCACATCGATGTAAAAAAAATTGAAATCGGTTACGGCGTTGCCAAGTTATAAATGATAAATCTATTTTTACCAAAATCATAATCGGCTGAGGCGTTGTCAAGTTATGGATAATTTCCTCATTTTTACTACTATTTCGGAGTATAATTTTTACGTCATAGTTCTTTCATTCAAATAATCAAATTTCTTCATTGACCATTCATATATTTTTCAACAATAGGAACATTTGCACGCTCTCCAACTTTGAATTCAAATCAGAGTGGATTTGACAAATTGATCCAAAATGCTACTTTCACAACTTTTTTTGCAGACAACAAATTAATTTTCCGAAATACACTTTCATTATTCGTGTAATGACCTGTCAAACATCGCCACAATCAAATGATATTTTGAATTTATTCAATATTTTGCTGAATTCCCTCCCGAAACCCGCGTAGTAATGAAATATTGTTTGTATCATTATGTAGAGTTTGCCTTCTTCAAGTTTGATGGAGATTTGGATTGTGGGAATAACGACAATAAAAGTGGTCCAAATTTCAATAAATTGTCCTTATTCTCGCAATTCAAATCTCCATTGTTTGTATTGTAGAAGTTGTTTTAAAGGCAGGCGTTCTGCTTTTGGCATGTTTGTTTCACATAGGTACATATTATTTAAATCATAAGTAACAAGATTACGGAATATTTCAAATTTTGACAATGCTTATATCGCAAAGATACCTGAATGATCTATCTAGAACCTCGAATGTCATGTGGCAAGCAATATTCCCACAATCAAATAAAATAAAGGAACCATGCCTCATAAGTTGCCCTGAGATAATGATAAACATAAGGAAATTACTCATAACTTGAAAACCCCGCAACCGATTCCAATTTTTGTTTCAGCGATGAAAAGGCGAATGATGTCGAAATGAATCTGTGATGAAAAATACAGGGTGTTCCATTTGAAAAATTCTAGTGAACGTCGTCTGAATCTTCAATATTCAGAGTGTAAATTTTAGCACCCTGTAAAGGATAATCTTGCAAAATTACTGGATTGTTGTACTTGAGACCTTGCTACTACTGTATGCCAAAAATCTTCTCAAAATTTTAATAAATGTATATACCATACCCAATTTAACATGACCCTTCAATAGTAGTAAAAATGGGTTCATCAATTATAACTTGGCAACGCCGCAACCAAATTCAATTTTTTTCGCAGCGATGTAGAGCTAATCCTTAGCGGAATGAATTTTGAATAAAAAATACTGGGTGTTCTATTTGATAAAACTCGTCTCTGAGTCCTCCCGCTTTTATAAAACACCCAGTATTGTTGGAAATATTTCTGAAATGGAACCTTTAATAACGGAAGAAATTTGTTCCCGAAAGTTTTTCTCTAGTGATAATGGATTCTGAGATATCGAAGAATTACGCACTAAATGGACACACTGTATAGTGTGTCCCATAAGTCATGGATCAAGAGATGAAGATGGTAAGGGGTATCATTCCCGATCAAACTAACCCTATATGTCGTCATCCAATTGTTGGTTCGAAAGTTATTAGTTTCTTTGATTTCTAATGTCACGAGTAGGTGGAGATTACTTGGTATATACTTTAATAACACAATTATGTCCCATAGGACGTCCTGTAGGTACATTCAGGACGTCCATAGAACGTTCGAATTTGATACCGTGGACGTCCATTGGACGTCTGTGGGACGCACAAATGTCCTACTTGAAGACGAACTAGAGACGTCCTCGAGGGATGTCCCTGGGACAACTATCGAATACCTAAATCCTTCAGTTTTCCTCATCAAGCACTACGGAGGACATCCTTAGGACATCCGTAGGACAACCTATCAGCAACGCTGAGGGATATCAATTGGATGTCCATAGGATGTCCCAGGGACGTACGAATTATTCTTGAATTTTAACGTTTCTGGGTCCCACTAGGACCAGATTTTGCATAACTGATGAGGACATCCAGTTGAGTTGATGGTCCGTAGTAGGTCCCCAATTGATCCTGAAAAAGTTTCACAAGGATGTCCATTGGACCGACTTGGACGTCCGTGGGACGTTATTTTTCGGACATTGGAAGAGTACAGTTCATGTACCAATTGGGACATCCGACGGATATTCCTGAGGGACATTCGAAGGATGTCCCTAAGGGAGATTTCGATTGTTATACGATCCTGGAAATATTGAGTGCGTCTGTGCAGTGATATTTGGAGTAATGTGCCAGCAGGGACATTTCTAGGTTGTCTAGAAGAACATTATATGAAATCTGAAGTCACGCCAGAATTCGGGACATCCGATAGATGTCCCTAAATAAACGATTAAAATCATATCTCATCAGGGACATGCCAAGGACGTCCTTGCATGGACATTCTACAATATGTACCACGTGGGACGTCTAAGGGATGCTATTTCTAGGACATTTGAAATGATGTACCTGCTGGGACATTCCGTGCTCGGACATCGCTTGAGATGTACGGGATGGGACGTCCCAAGGACACTTATTCTTGGTCCGGGACATTCGGACTTGAATTGTACCAAAAAAGGGACGTCCTTAGGACGTTGTGTGCTATTAGCGTAAGTAATTTCGAATCATGAGGGTTTTATATACATAAAGTTGATCAAATCATCCGAAGACAATGAGAACTGACCAAGAAACCCCCATGAGAAACGTGCAATTCTAATGAAATGATGTATGTACAGGGTGATCCACGGTGGATGGCTTATTAGGAGTATCTGGAGAACGAAAAGACAGAACATTCTGAAAATTGGGATGCTTTGATAATTGAACATCCTCTATCCGTCTGAAATATTTTCATCGATACAGTGTTGCTACTTCTATCAGAAGCAACTAGCAACTTTGTTATTTCAAATGGAACACCCTGAATTATATTGCATTTTTATATATTTCCTGAAGAGCTGATTTCATCAATGTATCACACTTGGGGTCTAGGAGGAATGATTACAGAGATATAATATGGTGTTCAAAATCGAGATTTTTCAATTTTAGGATTTTTTGTGTCGAAACTATTCATTATCGATCGAAACGACTTACATGTCCCAATCTTAACTTTTGATTCACTATCTACTGGAATTCAATTGGAAAAAATACAGGGTGCTTCAGGATTCAGAATTCTGATCAATTTATGCGACAGGCTCAGAATATATGTTTAGTGTGGCGAATACGAGAAAAATTCAGATAATTGGTTGAAATGCAGTATCTGTAGCAATTGGGCATATAAGTCGTGTGTTTATACTGAAAAGAAAATTCCTATTCGTGACTATTGCATTTGAATTACTTATTCAAATTTTTGGGGCCATTGTGATCATCTGTCACTATTACCCCTAGTATCCGGGGTAATAGTACGCATCCAATTCTTTTCATTTATTCTGTGAGAATTATTTTCTTGTTTTGGTATATAATAATCTACTTATAGAAAAAAATGCTCAGGGGGCCACCATTCCTCCGCTTCTCCATACTCATGAAAAATCTAAGTTTTTAAGGTATTCGACCATCGAGTCGACCATGATGAAAAATAATTTCAACTGCGTGACATTGTTTGTTTCTGAATGATACAGATCATTGCCCTGGAGGTAAATTAATTCTAGATTCCTTTCAAACACTTTTCTGATGACCAGTCAGACGAACTCGATAAACTCAGTCAGCACATCCTTTTGATGCAACTTCAGAGATCTGGATTTCACTACCTCTGATGCAATTGTTCCAAGAAAATATGAAATTTCAACCTCTCTATATCCTATACCATACGCACGACATCCCATCACGAACATAACATAGGATTTTTCACTCGTGAGCTCCAGATTATACGAAATACAATTGCAATCAAGGAAAAAATCTAGTCGAATATCATTGATTTGAAAAAAGATAAAATTGCAGCCCTTGCAACGCTATAAAATTTTAGTTCAGAATTATAAGAATTTTTATACAGAAAGTATGAAAAGTTTCTACTTAATTCTACGTAATTAACCAATTAGATAGAGACACTTTCTAAAAACCTTGCTTGGATGAGAAGACAAAACAAATATACGAGAATATCATTACAACAGTTTATTTGCTGAAAAAAATACACATTAGGCTGATGGCTACAAGAATTTGCCGATTACAGTGTTTGTGTTGACGACTATAAAATCGTATGGGGAGATGGCTTTGTGAAAGATGCTGAAGATTATTTGAAAAGTAAATATGACGGACTAACAAAATAAAGTTGATAGCTCTCCAGAACATTCCACCTCACAATAACAATTTGTATGATCTGATTCTCCAATTGAAGACCTTAACACTTGGAGTGATTATACCTGGGCATCCAATATTGGTTCTCGAAGAAGGTTCCTTCATGGTGATTTGGAGTTCAACCTTCACAGTTAGTTCAGCTTTCAGATATCAGTTTTGCTTCCATAGCAACCCAAGTACCTCGGTAGGTACAGGGTGATTGACTATGGATTTCTTGACTTCAACAGTTGATATCTCGAAAACGAAAGAAGATATTCGAAATTTGGAGGAAGGTACTTGAATGAGATGTCATTTCCTTCTGGAAAATGTGTTCTCTGCTTGATTTTATCATCTCATATACAGGGTACCTATGTGAAAAAAATGTTTTTCAAATGGAACCCCCTGTATATTATCGCATGTTTCGAAAGAGCTATCTTTCCTGATTTCAAAT